CTTGTGTTGTCTTGCTGTGCAATGTCTTACAGTGCTCTCATCAAATATCATGTCTTTTACAAGTGCAGGGTATTGGATAATCATTGCCAGTTCTGTAAATACTCAGCATGGAAGCACTTTTTTCTTCCATTACTAAAAAATGCTAGGTTGGGTCAAGTCATTCATTCATGGGGCAACTCTGGAGCTCAGGTCCTTCCAGGCTCAGGAGCTTCCCTACAGCTGAGCTCTGGGTTCCAGCAGACCCAGCTCCAGCACTGGAGTAAAGTGGAGTAAAAATGATTCAGCTTCACTCCAGCTCCAGGTCCTGAAGGAGCTTTGGGGCTCCGGCCAACCCTACCTTACAAAACATTTCATTGTATTTAGATACACAGCAATGCTAAATTATCATGCGACATGGCAGTTACTGTTAAAATGTTTACATCGAATCTGAAGAGTTAAGCAATGTTAAGAAAGAATCACTGCAATATACTGTGCTGCGTAGACACTGAAGCCCCTGCTGCTTCTGGTAGAATGAATTAGAAATATGTATAAACCCTTCACCATAACAGCACACGTTAACCATCTTATCACAAACATAAGGGCTAACTGACCATATGATTGTCTAGAAACACATTTTGTCTCTCTTATAAAGAGATTTCTTCTCCTTGCATTCCCACCCATGAAGACCTATGCAGTCTTAGCTCAAGGATAGCCCATACAGTATGTGAAGGAAGCACTGGAACACAGATACGTGTTCAGCACAGATACCCTTAGGTAGGTTTTAACCTTCATAAGCAGGACAATGAATCTGACTAGGAAAAGCATGGTTAGTCTTTTGTATTTCAGAGCACAAGCTGGCAGAAAGGTCTTTTTTTTTTTTTTACTTTGGGCACTGCTTAACACTCAATTTTTTTTCCCATACCTTAACTCTTAGGTTAATCCTTAACCCATTTTTCAGTTTTTTTTTTAATCTGAAATCAGTTCCAAATAAAGTAAGTCCCTTTCCCCAAGTTCAAAGTCTGCAAGTGACATTGTTGGGCAGCGTGACAGAAATTAGTGATCACTCTGTACTTAAACAGATCTGATCCGGTTATTTATCGGATACAGATTAATTTCTGAAAATAAATTTGCCTATAGCAGTCATATGGTGCTGTGAAGTTGTCAGTTAGATTAGAAACTCGAATCTTTCCCCCGTGAAAATGGTGATGCTGAGGAAGTTGAGGTTCATGTACATCGGAGTTGTTCTGCGCGATTAAGGCTGTCTTTCCACAGTACAGCAAAGTAATCCTTCGTTTGGACAAAGTGCAGTTTAAACAGTTTCCCTAACTGGTTTTGCTTCAGCGACACGCATTCAGGTTTTGCAAAATGGAAGACAGGATATGTACCAGTTTGAAGGTCATCTGATAAACAGAAACTAGACATTCACCATTACTTCACAAAAGCCTTGACGCCTTTTTTTTTCATTTTGACTTTTGAGGCAGCTGTTTCTTGTTATTCTTCATCACTACAGTGCAGTATGAAGTGTTACATGCAACGTGACACGTGCTGTCCATGTGGTCATTTTCAAAGCAGGCAGAATGTTTTCTGTTGTTCGCAGTAAGGTCTTATACACAACATGGCAGATGCACAAAGTAAATCCGGCCATATATTCACTTGTCTTGCAAAAATGGTACATACAGTATGAACTGCTCCCTGCAAAGCATTATCAAAAGAGCGAACAGCATAGTATATACACAGAGCATTTGATTGTTTGCTGTATCTTTGCTTGTACACCATTAAACACGATCAGTTTTGCATGCAGCTATCATGACACTGGTCTCAAGAGGTTACATGTTGCTCAATATGACATTTTTCATGAAAGTCTTCATGAATTTGTCTAAAACATGCAAAATTATTGTTGCATGTTTTTTTTTTCCCCACAGAAGCATGCTGTTTAATCAATATTGAGGACGGCAAATGAAAAGCTCATCCAGACTTATCTTATTGCACACAGTCTTAAGATAAAAATTAGGTAGTTCTGGTTATTGATATTTTTTTGTTCTATAGATTCATTTTCTGTTTCAATAATCGTCATGGAAACAGTGTAGTGCCCTCGCCGGGTGACGAAGCGAAGGCGCACCTGGCTGATACATGCGCCTGTGGTGCAGGCTGGGAACTGGGAGGCTGGGAGATGGTCTGAGGGTCCGCATAGCCCCTGCCTATGTAAATAGTGACTATAAAACCTAATGTAAATAGTAGTTAATTGCTTACTCCTGTTTGGTCCCTTGTCTTGTAACCACCCTAACCTTGCGTGTCCTATTCACAGCACTTGTGTGTGTTAACCCAAAGAGTTTGTGTATACATCTCTCTTGCCTGATTGCTAGCTGACAGAGTTCTGTCAATAAAGAAAGTAGACAGAAAAACGTTTCGGAGGTTAGTCTTTGCGTTTGTTAGAATCATAGCAATGATTGGCAGTACGTATGCAAATGGTTTTTCTCGTCAATGGAGGTCAACAGACCTTTTTTTGTGGTCAAGACTCACTGATGAACATTTATGAACAACATTGCAATTGGCTACTTCACGTAATATCAGGCCTAATGTTTACAGATGCACTACTGAAAACATACGGACAGGTTGCATCACAGTGTGGTATGGCAACTGCAGTATTGCTGACCGCAAAGCCCTACAGCAGGTGGTGAAAACTGCCCAGTCCTTCACTGGGGTACTCCCACCCATCCAGGACATTTACATGTATGACAGACGGTGCTTGAGGAAAGCTCTAAGCATCATCAAAGACCCCACACACCCCAGCTACAGACTGTTTGACCCTCTACCATCTGGAAATGGTACTGGAGCATCCGGGCCCGGACAACCAGGTTCAGAGAGATTTTTCCCCTGTACTATCAAACTATTAAACTCCCAGCCTCTCTCACTTTCGATCTGATCATCTAGCCAGCAATACTCTAAAACTGACTTACAGAAAGTAAGCTGCGCCAAGTCATTTTTCCATTCAAGGCAACAGGAAGATGATACTCTTTCTGAACACTTTACTTTTGCAGTATCTCACTCCACACACCTGAAGAAACCCCACCACTGAAACCTTTTCTTTTTCTAGTTTTCCATGTAGAATTAACCCCAATATGTTCCTTAGAATGTAGATGTTTAATAAGTCACTATTTTTTACTTATTTTATAAAATAATCTCACCACTCTTACTAGGTAACTGATATATTGTATGTGGATTGTTTTCAATACTGTCATTGTTTTCAATACATGAGTCATTTTCCTTTTATTATCCAGAAGTTTCCTATTACCCCTGATTCATGTTTAATAACTCTGTATTTTTGTTGGAATACTAACAAACATTTGACTTAATTGCAGTAACCCTTACTACAGTATCTCCCTCATGGCCTTTCAGGTATCTTTTTCCTGGGCTTTCAATTCAAACCATTGGTTAATTGTGTTTCCTTTCACAGAATCATGTCATTTTTCAACATTCATTTCATAGAGTGCCTTCACTATCCATACGGTTCACGTGATGAAATGATTTTTGCTTCTATTTTCTGATAAGTATAGGTATATTTCAGTATGTTATCGAATCATGCATCTGATATCACAATAGACACAGGGTTGAACTGAGAGGCCTTGTCTGATCTGGCCCTGGACGTAATGGCAATCCATTGCTGGACCTACCAGTAATAAAGCAGGGATTCAAGAAGTCAGAGCATGGCTCAGTGAAATTTTGAAATGAGTTTATTTTAGTGAAGGCCTTTCCGGACAGCAATAAACAGAGGTCCGTGCTGAAAACACCATCATTTTACAGCCCAAGTCAACCTCGTGTTCCCACAGATAGAAAGGTGGAGCACTTATCCATAGACTGTCACAGGTCATACATGGTATAGAACATTTATGCAAGTCTTACAGGATATTCTAGTGTACAGCTGTCTGAGAAAATCACAACTGGGTTACAACCAGTGTCAAACAGATCTGTCTGCCAACATATAGGCATATCAAAAATAATACTTATCAGGACTCTCTCTCAACTCTCGTTGAAATGTGATTCAGCTCTTCTTTGGAATTCTTTAGAATCATTCCAAATGAAATCTTGGATCTAGTTTTGTCTTGTCATGCGTATTCTCTTCCTACTTAATGAAAGAAGAGCAAAATCCTTTTAAGTGTAACATCCATCCATCTTTAACCACTTTATCCAACGCAGGGTCATGTGGTAGCGGTAGCCTATCCCAGCAAGCAACGGGCACAAGGAATGGGATACTAATAATAATTGCTTACACTTATATAGCGCTTTTCTGGACACTCCACTCAAAGTGCTTTACAGATAACGGGGACTCCCCTCCACCACCACCAGTGTGCAGCATTCACCTGGATGATGTGACAGCAGCCATAGTGCGCCAGAACGCACACCAGCTATCAGTGGGGAGGAGAGCAGAGTAATGAAGCCGATTCATAGATGGGGGTTATTAGGGGGCCATGATTGGTAAGGGCCAATGGGAAATTTGGCCTTGACGCTACTTTTTCGAGAAACGCCATGGGATTTTTAATGACCACAGAGAGTCAGGACCTCGGTTTTATCTCTCATCCGAAGGAAGGGATACTAATCCATCACAGGACGCACACAGACGCACACTCACACCAGGGCCAATTTTCCCAGAAGACAACGAACCTACCAGCATGTCTTCAGACTGTAGGAGGAAAGCAGAGCACCTGGAGGAAACCCATACAAACAAAGTGAACGTACAACCTCCGTGCAGATAGCACCACAGGAATTGAAGCCAGAGAATACAAACCACTAACCACTACGCCACCAAGCTGCCTAATGAGCCATACAGTACGTGCTACAATTATATCACATAAGCAGTGCAAGCAAGCTATGGGATTGAGTAAAACTTCCAGTCATCAAATTATTATTTTTTCCCCAGAGAGTTAAGCCGCTCACCGCTTCCTGTAGATGTACGATTTCAATGTGCCGTCTGTCTGCTGCGCGTAACATCTGACAAACGGGAGTTTGTTTGTTTCCCCACACAGGAGGTGGCCATGGTATAGAGAGGCACAGTGAAGGGGGGCGTTTCTGATGGCAGATCCTGTTCCCTCCGGCTTGCTGGAAGTGTGTGTTGTAATTGGAGTGCCAACAGATAAGTTAAAGGAAACTTGCCAGGTAAATGGGGAAGACCTCTGCTTAATATTGATTCTGTTTCTGTTTCGCAGCATAAGTGAAGATCAATTTGTGAGAAATTAGGTATAGGCTTCTTTTTATAAGAAACAATTGCCCTTTATTTTTTAATGTTGGAGACTTATTGTGTCTGGCAGTAGCTCCTGCACGTACCTAGAGAGAACGAGACATGAGACAATAGACATGCTCTACCTTACGCTCCTGCCTGAAGAGGCTGTCAGGTTTTGAACAAGTACTGTTTTGTAAACCAGCAAAAATACATGATGCATTAGTTACATATTCAAGTAATAAATTGTTTTATCTGAAAATGTATGGAAAGGAAAAATTACAGAATTTCCAATAACACACTCCCTCCAAAAGAGACTGCAGACTAATTACATTAACTGATGTGTGTGATACATTTCTCACAAAGCTCATGGGACTGGTGTTGTATCTTTTTTTCCCCCAAAGTTTGATCATTTGCAGCTTAATATTTCTAAGATTTTTTTTTTCCTTGAATCTTTCAGATTTGATATGATTCCTCCAATTTTCAGAGCTTTAATCTCTGGAAAAGCTGTTGTGGAATAAAAATCTGATTTATGTCGTCTTGCCATCGCACACCTTGGTACAGTAGCCCTTTGCTTTTGTCTGTACAGATACAGCCACAGGGAAAAGGGGGAGAATGGCCACTTCTTGATCCTGAAGTCCTGCAAGTGCACGTTCCTCCGTTCGTGACGAAAGAGAATGCATTTGAGTCGAGCAGCGCGTTCAACAGAGTCCAGCGTCGGCGCTCGTTCATAAAGAAGAAGAGGGAGAAGCCTGACGCGACTTCGAAAGAAAACCCAGAGAGCAGTGAGCCAAAAACAGAGGATATCAGCGTCCCCAAAGACATTGATCTTATTGGACTGCCACAGCTTTGCTTTCCTGGTAATAATGCGGTCTGCTTTTCAACATTTCATTGCCATTAAATATTCTTCTTTGGTGTTTGGGATAAAATTGGTGATTTTGGCGACTTGCAGAATTAGTTTTACCTGTGCTTTTTTTTCTCCAATATTGTGTCTCTATAAAAGTTTTCTGTGCAACTCCGTTTTTTTTTTCTGTTCTCTCTTATCTCTCTGTTTTTTTTTCTGTGTGTGTGTTTTTTTGTTTTATTGTTGTTTTTCGCTTTTTTTTTTTTCCAGTGTAGTTTTGTTGTGGAGTTTTTGGAGATAGTACTGGATACATGCATTTTAGAAGTGGCACAAGAAATGTGAGCAAATACTATGGATCCCTAATATATTTTAGCCTTTTAACTTTCTTATTGAAGACACCATTTTAAAAGATCTGATTGCATCTATATGACACTCTTTATAGGGGTCTTGATATACATGAGTTGATTTTATAGCTGTTAAATAATTGGGTCTTGAATCACCCACTTGATAATGTAGCCTGACTGTTGTAAGAGTTTTTAGAAAACGGCTGTTGATTGTGCCCTGTGGTCTTGATTTTATAAACTCTTGTCTGTTTCTATACCAGCTATGATTACCTAAGGCAATAGAGCAGGGACAATTGCTGCCATGGTTATGTGGGTATTAACTGCTCAGCATGAGTAGTTACTGTCATCAGCCAGGTTTACTCAGATCAGGGTGACAAGTGCTAATACACTTATATCGCCCCATTTCTGATACTGTCAGAATGTCACCTTACGTTTTCACACCTCCATGTCCATACTAAACCTGAAACAGCTACTTCATCTGCATTCTAATTGCATCTATGATATAAAACCCTGGATGACTCAATTTCCTTTACCTATACTGTAACAAAAATGAGGTCATGCTACTTTGCACCTCCCATTACATATGTAAAGCCAGTGAAGTAACCTTATCTGTGAATGGCACTGTGCTTAAATTTCAAACAACTGAAGTATTTAGAGCTGATTTGACCTGGGATTGACTTTTGAACCTCATCTGCAGAATATTGTAAAAACAACATTCTTCCATCTCAGAAATATTGCCAGTCTATGTCCTATGTTTTCTTTGACAGAAGCAGAAAAGCTGGTCAACATTTTTCTTTTCATTAGAATTGAATTGAACAAACAGATCTATTCAGAACTCACCAGCAAGAATGTAGGTCATGTGCAAGTGATCACATTATACCTGTCCTGGAGTCCTTGCACTGGCTACCCTTCAGGTTTTGAGTCAACTTCAGGAGCCTCATTCTCAGCTATAAGGCTCTACATGGCTTAGCACCTCAGTACCTGTCTGACTTACCTTCCATCTTCCCAACCTTTGTTCGTCAGACTCCGGTCACCTGTCTTTTCCCTAAGCTCGTTTACATTCTGTGGGTGACAGGGCTTTCTCTTCCTGCACCACAAAGCTCTCTATTTATATCCCCAGGGATATCCGAGTGCCACCTTACTGATCACATTCAAACCCCGACTCAAAAGCCTCTCCAAAAATGTATTTAGTGTCTGTGTCTGCTCTAGTGACCATTATCTTCTTCCACAGCTATGGCCTCTTGCATTTCATACATGCTTGTTTTTTTAATTTGGTATCCTTATACATTTTTTATTTTACACCTACTGTAAAGTGCCTTGAGATGTGCTATACAATTAAAGATTATGCCTGGGCTGATCCTGTTTGACCAGGGCCCCCCGACACAGCAGCAGCAGCTGGTGTGTTATTTTCTCTCTCGGCTCTCTTTGAGACTGCCGTCTGTCTACTGCTGGTAAGGCACAAGGAGTACTCAAGACTCCACCTTTGCCATCCAGACTCGTCTAGACTCTTCTCTCTCGGCTCCGGAGAGAAGGTACCAGGCTATCTTGCCAAACAATATGGCCCACTCCTCCATGTACCAGTGACTCCAGTCTGCCCCGATTCAGCTGGCTCGCCTTGTTTCATAGCCAGTATACTTCAAGTCCCTTGAGCCTGGCAAAAATACTGCCTGTGACACCCCTCAGGACCGCCTGAGCTGTATTTGGTCCAGCATCCCTTGGTCACTGAGTCCCACAGGCCTGTAAGCCAGCCCTATCCATTTCTAAGAATGGATCTCTAGAGTTCTCACTCTCTCTCCTTCTAGGCTGTAGCCTAGACACCAACTGAAACCGCTTTCCACCCAGCTGGTCTTAGAAGCCTTACTTAGCCCAGAGGAGTGGCTAATTCCTTGTAGAGCCTATACTGAGAACGGTATTCCCTTATATGGTATCCCACTGAGCACATTCACATCGGGTTTTTCCTATTAACAGCATAAGCCATCTTGGCTCAAGACCACACCATGCGGGCTGTGGTTTGAGCCAAGATGGTGACTTTCTCACCAAGTCAGTTCTCACTACCTCACAGTATGCTATGAGGGAATGCATCTCTGCTTATTCCAGGTTTAACATTACCACTGAGTTTTTTTGTACATGCTGGTATATTTGCTTGTATATTTAGAAGGTTGAGCCCAAACAATTTAGCAAAAAGGAAGGTGAGGGGATAGCTTTGAAAGAAAAGCTGGCAATTTTGTAAAAATGTTATGGTCTGTATATTACATAATATAACAGTTATGCATATACACAAGGAATACTTAATAAAAAATTCTTAAGCTAATTTATATAGGTAATGTATGCTTATTTTGTTTTTAAAAACCTTGTAATTCTTCTACAGCTTCCAACCCCCCAAAAATGTTAGAAAACACTGCAAAACTTACTTAAAAGACTACACTTTCCTGCACAAAAGAAAAGGCTGGATCAGACCCAGAATTCATTGCCAGGGGGATTTTGAGGAAGAAATTAGCCAAGCTTTTGTCGTTTCCACATTGGTGTTATTTGCAGCAGTGCTAATGGGAATTCTTGATTCACACAAGGGAAAAACTTTGCCAGCATTTCTTCAAGACAGCATTTACTTTGGGAATCACACTAAAATCAGCTGTGGAGTGTAACATGCAGTATATGGAAATGAGAGTGTATTAATTAACACTCTTAGAAACCATGTACTGTATAAACAAAAAATCCAGCCCAGAGGCCTAGAGACAGCAAAATGTAGAAAGGGCAGTAATTCAAAAGACATTAGCATTAGCTGCTTCTTGCATGGTACAATTTCTTTCACTTTAATGCTTAAGTGTTTACCAATTAATTATAAATGTACATTTTCTCTGTTATGTGGCATTTGGGGTGGCACAGTGGTCAGCATAGGAACAAGTAATAGGTTTTTTCCATGCTGAAAAGAGAAGAAAGGAAACAATGTTTCAGCTGTGGAGACTGCTTTGGTGCCTGGGCCCGGGGTTCATCTGGTGCTATCTGTGTGGAGTGTGCATGTTCTCCCCACATTTGTATGGGTTTCTGGATAGTCCGGTATGGTTTTCTCCTACCATTCAAAGACATGCTAGCAGATCAATTGGCTTCTTTGAACACTGCCCCTGACGTGAGTGTGTCTGTGTGCCCTGTGATGGATAGGCATCCTGTCCAGGGAGTAAAATCAGTTGTGGAGTGTAACATATACATGAACACTTTTAGAAACATGTATAAAAAAAATCCAGCCCACAGGCCTAGAGATGGCAAAATGTAGAAAGGGCAGTAATGCGAAAGACATTTTCACGTTTTCGCCCATTGCTTGAAAGGAGAGATGCTGGCTCTTCCCTTAAAACTATACTGGATAAAGTGATTTTGAAAATGGAATGGGTGAGCCCTTTTTTTGTCAGGGCATTGCATACATGTACATGTTTACAGAAAGATATAGGATTACAGGTTACAGGAAGTCTGGGGGGGAAAAAATGAAACATTCCCACACAAACCTATGGCTGTGTGCTTACGTACTGCTCTTTGTTTGTCTTTGTCATCAGGAGGGCTTCAAGTAACCAATGAGCTGAAAGAAGACCGCTTCCACTTCCTGGTTTTCACTGACGTCTTTGGGACCAGAACCTATGGAGCAGTTGTTCAATACTACAGGCCAGTACAGGTGTGTGCATTTTATGAGTATAGCATGTGCTCATGATTAACATTAAAGACGACTTATTTAATGAAAACCAAAAAAGAGGTGGTTAAAGAGGTGGTTTGTAACGGAAATTTCCAGTATATTGTCATGATTTGGAGGCTAACTAAGTTTAGCAACATTTGCATTTCCCTGCTGTGTTGCCCTGGTCAGAATGCAGAATGGTGTTTTTTTTCCTGTATTTACCTAGCTGTCCTGGGGCTAGGAGGCAAATAGGTAAAGACACAGTTGAGTAGAGTTCCTAATGATTTACTCTGGTTAATTAACTTCACAGTTAATCATTAGAAACCCCATATTAAAGAATAGACATTTAACAGTAACTGGCCAATAGGAAGGTTTAGCCAGCCTCCATAGGAGTGGACAACACACAAATGCAACCTAAGAAAGGGACTCCTATGAGAGAGTAGGAAGACTGAGAGGCAGGGGGAGAAGGAGAAAACACCATCTACTTCCTCCAAAGCATGACCGACGTGGGAAATCCTTTATGTGTAGTCTTGTAGACTAGATTCTGGCTAGGTAACCAGAGCATTGCAAGAGTTAGCAAAATTAACATTTTCTTTGTGTAAACATTCTCTTAGTATAGAAACACATTGTTAGAAAAGGGCAATTTGGTTTTCATTCACATACAGGCATCTGTGTTTGTGAGATTCAACTCTGGCCAAGTTCCATTTTTCCCCAGGATGCAGGTGTCCTTTCTTTGGCCTTTTTAAGGTGTTTAATTGTTAATGCACATTACAGAGAATTCTATACCATTGTGTAATAGGTAACTATTACGTAGAGGTGTTAATATTTGTCTTGTCTAAGTTTAGGGCTGATTTATTACTCTATCATTATACCAGAGGGGAAAAAATTGTTTTATAAAGCTTGGTTATTTCCTGCTTTGCTATCTTGTAACAAAACGCAAAAGATAAGTGTTTAAGCTAAAATCTAGAGAAACAATTGTTTCCTTTTGCGAAATCCCAGCCTCCCAAGATACTGTCCCTAAATTGTTCTTAAAATAGTTTATGAGAAAATGAAACAATAGGCCATTTCAAGTTAAATAATGGAGACTATCTGTTGAGGGGTAGTCAAGACAGCACTTATACAGCAGTTTAATTAACCTATAAAGAAGAAATCTGAGCACCTCGAGAAAGAGGTGTGACCATTGGAGAACATACAAAACACTGATTCTGGACTGTAGCACTTTCTATGTGAACCCTGGACCCAAGAGGCTTAAGGCAGTAGAGCTAACTGTGCACTAAATCCCCATGATACCATACCAGTAACAAAAGTACGATAGAGAATTCTACTGCATGTTCGTTTGATCCGATAATGCTACTTAAGGCATTCAGTCTTATAAAAATACTGCTTGCAGGTACTTCTTTAGCAATAAAGCACATCGAGCAAATGGCAGAAAGAAATCATAATGAACCCTGTTACTATCTGGATAGAAAATACAGAACTGCAGTGAGTGTGAGTAAAACAGCTGAGAAACAGACCTCAAAGGTTGTGACAAAGACCCTCAACATACCAACGAGTGAGAATTTTTCAAGTTGAAAAGCCACACATGGAGATTCTGCTTCTGCTAAAGGGCGTCATAAAACGGCGCTTGAAAGGGCAAACATGGAGGGTGAAGGGGTGTGAAATCGCCAGCTAAAGCAATGAGGGTTGTCAAGGGAACAGCAGTCACCGTTTCATTTGGTGTCCACTTAAAATGAGAATGAAAGAAAGCTTAAAAGTCCTTGGAAGAAAAGAACTGACTCTGGTCCACCCCTGCTCTTTATCTCTCTGGGGATCCTAAACTCCTGAAATGGAAGAAGAAAAATAAATCTTAACTTTCTGAAACTATAGGAAGGAGAGCAAGCAGCTTCAGCTTCATCTCCCAAAATGTAGGGCGATTCCAACTACCACGCTAAACCAGTGCCCAGCAAACACTGTTTTGAGCTGGTTGCCCTGTCACACTTTTGACGTGGCTAAATGGGCCCAATACAATGAAGAGAAGGATTAAACATCTAAGAAAAAAGTGCACCATTGAATGAAAGATGGAACTTAACAGGGGCTTACATAGAAAGCAGAATACTGTGATGTTTTGGCCAAAGTTGTCTTTGCTCGCAGGGGGGGGTGGTTGTGGTTTTTTATTTAATTTTGGATAGGAGGTGAGCTCAATGGGCATTTTTGCTTGCTAATGTGCAGTACTTTTGTTCATGTTTCAGTTCTCACAGGATGCCGTTTGCTATCAAAATGGGCAGATGCATTGGTCTGCTTCCAGAGCTCCCCGACTCTATACTGCCTTTGGCATCTGTATTATATCCAAATATGCTTACTACAATGCCCTCAAGGACTGCCTTTCATGGTAAGATTCCCGTTTATCACAGCCTGTTTTAAGAAATATGCCTTCCTGCCTTTTTGAAATACAGTAAGTAGAGTATGCAGTTTGTTCATTTTGATGAGGCCTTTGATGTACAGTATTCCTACAGTTGTTATAACTATTGGAAATGGCTTATTGAAGTTTCAATCTCAGGGTCAGTGGCAACTAACTAGTGTCAACATTTCCAGAGCTTCAGAGCAAGGAGATGTTTGGTGAGATGTAGGGGTCCAAGATTCATCGATCAAAGCAATCTCTGGTTTACCTTGGGTAATTAAGGTCTGGATAAATGATTAAGTCTCAATCAATAGTCCAGAAACATAGCATAATACAGATAGAGAGAGATAAAGGAAGAGACAAAAGACAGGAGAAAGAAGGACACAGAGAAAGAAGAAAGTGCGAGGCAAGACTACCTTGTCCAGATCTGTAAAGACCAGATAAGTATGTGAACCATGTTAAGATAACTTTGCCATTCCATTGTTTTAAGAAATGGATTGCCTGTATAAAGAACTTTGGTTAAAAGTGGCCTCTTGGCTTGTGAATACATTTTTAGACAAGGGCGATAGGTTCTTCATTCACTCATAGGTGTTACAGAGGATGTGAATGTCTGTGGTTTTTCCTCTAGTCAGGATATATTGGGCTGGTCAAGACATATTGTAGGCCTCTGGGACACCTTACTTGTAAAGAGCATAACTTGTATATTGTATATGTTTTGTGTTTAATGTATCTTTCATTATTAATAAATATTTGTTTAACCCAGTTTGTCTTTTGTTTTTCCCACCAAAGCTGTGCCAGAGACCAAAGAACTCATGCACCACTAATTAAACAAACCACTAGGGTATATTTTCTGGCAAAATCTTTGCAAATTGGGGATAATGAACAACTATAAATTTCAAAACTAGCACAATTTGCAGTATAGGAAATCAAAACACTACAAACCAAAACAAGACACCAAACTACTATATTATGGCAGGTACCTAAGATGCTTACCAGCCTCAAAACTTAAACATCTGCCTCTCTCACAGACTTCACAACATTATTCTAAAATAAGTCTGTCTCTTAGACTCCTCACAACACTTCCAAATTGTTATAACTCACAAATTTGTCTTTTTCCTCGTGTCCTCGCTCCCCTCCAGTGAGTGTGCACCAAAGAGATCTGCCTGCTCTTCTAATACAGCAGATTGACCAACAGGAATGCCCCTGCTTTCTGGTTTTTAAACTGCCACCTGACCAATTGTCATCTGGCAACTGGTCAGGTGACAGAGAGAGGCTGCTCATGCTCCAAAGCTTTCTGGGGAATGTAGTCCATACAAGGCTGCCATTGTGCCTGAACCTGCTCTAACAGCTTTATTCCAAAGCACTTGGAAAGCTTAATAGCCATGTGAGCTTGAATAAATTAATGGTTTCATATTTGCAAACGTTTCACTGTTTGCTTTTACTGCTCTCCGTGCTTCACACCTGACATCTGATTAAGACTTGTAAAGGAAAACAAAGATCCATGTTATTTTTTTGATGATGGGGTAGCCGGAAATAATTTTTCACTAAAACCTTTTGATATGTGAACAGTTTATATTAATGTATTGTTATATTTAATAACTTCATGTGCTTGTCGGGATTCCCTAAAAATTCAGTTGATTCTGGAGTGTTTCTCTCCAGATTTTTAGGAGACAGATTTTTAGGATTTGAAAACACTGAAACACACCTGATCTTCTTTAAAGGACCAAACTCATCATTAGGTGTGACCCTGGATGTAACCAATCTAATTACCCAGCGTTTCAGACGAATATCCCTGCTCAGAAAAAATCAACAGTGTGTATACAACTAGATGGATTTTAATAAAGAAGTTAGACTTTTTTCCCCAGTATTTTCTTGACTGTCGAACAGGTGGTCACATGAAGGTCCCTTTCTATCACACTTTTTAAGTTTGTGTTCTTTGCCTCTGATTTTACAATTTACAGTACATTTAGAAATAATTTTAAAATGCTACCAGGCAAGTGGCTGTGCAGTAGGCTGTCATTTCATGATAGAGCACAGGCAATTTCCAGTACATTACAATCACTAGGTGCTCCAAGCAAGGGCCAGTACTCATTGAGCCACTCAGGAGGCCCGTAAAGTACATTTTTAAGAATTATTTACCTTATTTCCATCATTCCGTTGTTGTTGATGTTGTTTTTCCTTCTTAATATCTTATTGCATAATTTCAATTAAGTGGCTGTATTAGTATGCGTATCCTGCAAAGGTACAGGTAAAAGTTTATTGCACGTGGAAAAAGTAAAAAAAGTAAAAAAATTTACCTTCTTTTTCTTATTGCATAATGTTGATTTCTGTACTGGAATCCACTGTTCAGCATTTTCTCTGTTTTGTAGTTTGTACTTTTCTATTTTTAAATCTTTTGTGAAATAAATCACTGGGGATAGAGGTATTAGCTGAATAAATTAATAATAATAATACTAATCAATAACCGTATGGATAACAGTGCTTGAGTAATGGAATAAAACACTATCTCACGACTGGCTGAGCAGATGGCCACATTAGATGGAAGGACATACACTAGATAAGTCTGTTATTTGCGTTTTCGAAAAGCATGTGTACAGAAAAATGAGAACAAGCAGATTTCTTGAAACCACACGGGCAGTTCCTCACCAGGAGGAACTTCCTCTCCAGATGTGAAGTGGCAGAATCAGTTAACACCTAATACATTACCGGGAAATCCAACTTGTTCTCCCTGAGATCTTTTCCCTTCTTTTTTTTTCAGTCTAGTGGCACAGCTGAAGTCTTACAGAGGGATGGACTTTGAAGACAGAGTCAAGGAATTTGCTGCAAAACTGGCCTTAGTGCCAACCCCCCCACCTGGACAACTTCATTTGGTGAGAACTGTTGGGCTGCTTTTTTGTAAGACCTATCAGTAAAAAAGATTCTGAATACATTTCCATTCACTAATTAACTGAAGAGGTGATTCCTGACATTCAAAATTTCAATTCAATTTATTTTTCCTGGGAGGAAATTTTGTTTGGGCTTGTAACTTGCAATTCAACTTAAGAACAGATACTCGTATTGTCCATATTAATTTTAGATTTTATTTTGATGTCATAGCTCAAGGTTGCCTCAGCCCTCATGATCACATCATTATTGATTTCTGGAAAAGAGCTACCACAGCCCTGACTCAGAGAGAGTCATTCATGATTAAAAAATTTAGAGCTCCTCTATATGTATGACATTATAATCTTTTGCTGAAGATGACATGTTTTCCTATGGCATGTCTTTGCATATGGTTTGCATTGTCTCTTTGGTTGAACTCTGTATCTCTCTGAACGTTCTTTGGTTGACACTCCTGTATTTGGGCATTAACTTGAAGAAAGTCCAATCTAGCCTTAAGACATCAAAATCTGATTTACCTCTTAGATATTGTCTTACTTACCGTCTTTATATTTTGATATATTGTCTTAGATATACTGTCGAGTGTGTTTTGGCCCCATAATGACACAATTAGTTAAAGACCTGATGTTCAGTAGAAAGGCTTTTAAATTCACAGAAGACATGCCAATTGTTTGATTTTGCACCATCATAATCTCCTTACAGGTAATTTTCTATCCTGTTTCTCACATTGGAGTGACAAGAACATGATATTACTACAGATATTTTTTATAAAGCCTGTCTTTTGCTCATCCCAGGATTTGTAGTCACACTACAATCGCTTCTTTCTTTCTATTCTGACATTTCTGCATTGCGTACAGTACCTAAAAAATCCCTTGAGGGAGTTCGTATACTCCGTACCTAATATCAGGGATAAAAGAAAGGGTTTCTTCAGCTTCTTCTGTTGAAGTCTTTCTGTTATGGACTTCACATACACTCTCAGCAGCATCTCCTGTCTGGAACAGGGGCTTGAATGTTACAGATAAGGCCATTTTCTTATCTGTCTCCAAAAATGCTCACCATCGAATGATCCGCTCAAATTTCCTTCACTGAAGGTATTTGAGTCTCGAAGATGATATTTTATGAAGACGGTTTCCGCTTCCTGCCATGAGCATGCTCCAGTCGCATTTATCCGCACGTTGTGCGCGTGTCCAGAGGTTTTGTGTCCTGGAAACAAGTCTCTTCCCGTTTGGCCATTATTCCATTATTCTGAATAGGAAAATGCCCTGTTTACGTTGGGTGTCCTTCTTAGATGACGGAAATGGGCGGAAACAGATCTGAGTAGTCTGCAGATAAAAAAATATTGGCTCTGCATTGGGAGCTCCTGCATTCCCTATGTTGGGATCACCGGAACCTGGTTTGTCTTGATATTATTCATATGGAACTTTTGACTGCTAGGTGGGGTGACAACAGGTGATTGGATCCTGTCAACACTATGGATCCTTCAGTTGTAGCTATTTGTACTACATTTGAAGGGGGGTACCATTGAGGGAATAGGTTAGGAGCCTTTATGTGGAGAGCAGAATGGATACTGTTTAATTTTTATAATGTATTTCATGCTTTGAAAAATACAAATTAAACTTCTTTAAAATGTTATACATTTAATGTTCTTTAATATTTATTTAGGCGTTCAATATGAAGCCTCTGCAGATTGTGCTTCCTTCAAAAGAGGATTTGGATCACCCTACTGTTGATTTGGATCTCCATCTTCCTTTGTTGTGCTTCAATGCCAAACAGATTTTGCAGGTAAGATTGAAAAAAATATAAGCTATAGTAACATTTTACAAGGGAGGTTTGTACTAGCAGAAGATGAGGATGGTGTTTACTTTGCTTTGTAAAAAAAATACCTGTTTTATGCAAATAATTAATGTAAAAACATCTATAATACATTATTTAGATATATGAAGTACAAAATAATCATAATAAATATTTTCCCATTGGGTAAATTGGAAGGTTGCGGTAATATTGTATATTTCACACTAGTGACAGAAAATGTATTGTTTAGAACTGCACTTAAAAATTGTAGGACTGAATTAGTGAGGCTGTTGTATTGATTGGTTCTGAAACTCTTTTCACTGGTTTACTGATATGCGATCAATCTTCAATGGGTCATTCAAGGTCATTTCACAGATATGAATTTGAATGTGTTACCAAAACTCCACAACTAAAGAGTAGCTGTCCTACAGTACATCTTGTCTTAAACAGCTGTCACAGGCAGAAGAAAATAAAAAGCAGATCTGATGAGACCTACAAAGGCAGCAAATCTTCTGGTGTCTGAACTAGCATTCAGTATGTATTCACCTACCAGTATGTATTAGACTTAGACCCAGAGATCACCCCCTCGAACATGGAGAGAACTTTCCAACTCCATGCAGATAGCACCCAAGGAATTAAGGGCAGGGCCCCAGTGCTGTGAATTAACAGTTCTAACCACTGTGACACCATGCTGCCATGAGTCATTTCAGATCAGTCAGTGCAGATCATTAGGTGCCAGCTCATAAATGTACCCAATGAACAGCTCTGCCTGCACTTAAAAATAGAAATACCAGTAAGCTTTTATCATGCAAGTTCCATCATGTTTTTTTTTCATGTTATGAACTTGTATGTTCAAAAACTGCTGAAGATTCTGCACAGTTAGGAGAATACATCTTGGAACATATTTTGGAATTATACAAAATGTGAATTCTAGGTGAAGTGTTACACTTGTTTGCTTTCTGAAAGTTTTTTTTTATTAAAACATTCCATTAAGAAGAGGAATGAAAAGGTTTTTAAGCATTCCTCCCAATTTCTTTACACAAAGTGTTGCTGACTGGAATAATCTATCAAGCCGTATTACTGAAGTCAATGCCCTGGGATACTTTGAAAAAGGCAGGAAATCCTTGGATTAATAAGACAGTAGCAGTAATCAAGATGGGTTCCAATGGCGTCCCCTAACCTGTAATTTTTCCTGTATCTGTAAGTTCTAAACTGACGTTATTTTGGGGAAAATGAAGACGTGTTCACAGGCAGGGAGGTTAAAAGGACTGGATGTACAGCTCAGCGCTGACGAACGGCTGTCCGTGTGTGTTTTTTCTGCGGCCAGATCATCACGTGTTTCCTGACGGAGCAGAGGATTGTGTTCTTCTCCTCCGACTGGGCCCTGCTCACGCTGGTGTCGCAGTGCTTCATGCTGTACATCCACCCCCTGCAGTGGCAGCACACCTTCGTGCCCATCCTCTCCAGACAGATGCTGGATTTCGTCATGGCGCCGACCTCTTTCCTCATGGGCTGCCACATCGATCACTTGGAAGAAGTCGAAGCGGTAAAGCAGTACGCTTTCGGCTAAGAAAGGCTCTCCCAGTTTTTTCTCTGCAGGATGACAACTAAAACCGCTCAGCACTGGTCCATCCATTTTCTAACCCCCTTCTTCCAATTCGCCGGTGCCTATCCCAGCAAGCAATAGGTGCAAGGCAGGGTACACTCTGGATGGGACACCAGTCCATCACAGGGCACACACACGGACACACACATGCTCACCACGCCCAATATGCCCAGAAACCAATTAACCTACTGTACCAATATGTTTTTGAACTGTTGGAGGAAACTGGAACACAAGGAGGAAACCTGCACAAACACGGTGGGAACATGCAGACTCCACCCAGATAGCATCCCGGGTCTGGAATTGAACCCAGGGTTGAAGCGCTGTGAGGCAGAAATGCTAACCACTGTGCCATGCGCTGGTTGCAGTCCTTGCGCTCTTAAACTGATTTGACATTTCTAAGCGAATACGAAAAATATGCTTAACCATTACACTGGCATTAAAAGAGAGCAGATTTTTCATAAAGATGAACATTTAATGCATATTGTACTCATATTGTATATTTCAAACATAAACTCTAAGTTCACATATTTACTTTAATATTAAATATTTACTATTAATATAAAATGTGTTTTCCTATTTTGTACATTGCCCTTTTCTATTATTTGTTTGATTCGTGGCATCTTACACTACCTGTAATGCTGTAGCAAGAGTCAACCTTTAGAGTCAGCATCTATATTGATCACTCTTCTGTGTTTTACTTCATCTTCCAGGAGACAAATGACCTGATTTTGATAAATATTGACAATGGCACAATATTTGCTTCAAATACAGACATCCCATCTATGCCATTGGCTTCAGCAGACTGTTTCATGAGACGGTACGAAAAGTTTTTTTTCTAAATTTCCTAGAGGCGAAAGGGTCGAGATTTTTTATATTCTGTAGATTTTCTTTTGTATGCACAGTGATCCTTATACTGACATTGCATTTATGCAGTCAAATGTCCACCTTGGCAGTTCATTTTAGGTTTTATCACTTTAACCACTGTTATCTCTCTCTATAAAAAGCAATAACAGGTTTGTGCTATCAAAAAACTGGGAATTTTTCAGGTTTTCAAAAAAAATCACAGGCCAGCATGGTAAACTGATAAAGCCATTTCTTCCAGATGGGTTTATGTATTGTTAACAGGTCATACAGTACTGTAGGTACAGTATGTTAGGAAGTGCAAATGAATGCAGTTTCAAGCTAATAAGGGGGAATATGGCTCTGCAGAAAGACAGATGTGCTGCAAAAACATTACATTTCTTTTGGGACTTCTTTAATGAACTCAAAAGTATTTCCTTATTTAGCATTGCTTTACAAAAGTTGCTGGTGAAAAGTTCAATTGCTAATGCAGTGCATGCCCTGGAATGTATCTACCACACATAAAGTAGCTCTGTACTTAGGGTAGAAAAACATATAGTCAACGCGAATCATTATCTGTGGCTGTGGTTGAGTTTGTGGTGTGAGCATGTACAGTAAAATCTGTACAAGAATTTGAATTTGGTGATTTTTAAAAGTCCATTTGAGTGCAGTCTTTTCTCATTCCTTCATTACAGTCTGGTAGCATTGGTATTTTTTATTTCACTCAAGACAATTAAGTTGGCCAAGAAAAAAACCTGTCTAGGAACTTTCCCTGTGTGTGTGATTTCCCTACAAAGAAAAGAATCACAAGAAAGAATGTAACTATTGTCAAGTGCTGATATTTTTATGGTTTCTGGTTCAGTGTAAATGCTGTACCAGACCATAAAGGACCATTGTCTGTTAACAAATATAATTTAGGAGTCAACTTTTAATTTAAAACATTTTGAAATTTTAAACAAGTTTATACATTTTACATTTTTTTAACATTTCAACAATTCACTCAGGAGAGAAACTTGTACTCATGAAGATTTTCACACGAAGCGAAGATTTTCATCCACCCCAGACCTCCACACTCACTGATACGGCGTGTAATTCAAATTGAAACCAGAGCATTGAAAATGGATGTAAAACATAGCGGAAAACCGAATTGTACTCATTTGTATAATTTCTCCCTTCTGGTTGCAGGCACGCAGGGCTTCAGGTCCATTACGATCTGGAGCTGTCTCATCTTGGGACCAGCATTGACATGAACGACCTGAGAATGCAGAGAAGACAGTGGCAGCAGAAGCTGAATCGTGAAATACAGCAGGTTACCTTAGAGCTAATAGTCAATATCCTTAGGTAAGCCCCCCTTCACACAGTGCTGTCTGCACCACTGTTATTGGAAGTGTGCATCTAAATGGAGTAGCAAGTGCTTCCCAGTGTGTATTTGTGCCTTTTCTGTCACTGCTCTCTTGTTATAGAATGCTCTTCCTCCGACTCTTCGAGAGAGACATATTCTCGTATTCTTTTCAGATCGACACTCAAACGTCACCTTTTGACCGGGGCCTGTGTCTAATTTCCTTGCATTCTATCCTGTATGTTCTTTTAAATTTTTGCCTTTTACTTTTTTATTGTGCATTTTTGTCTTTTTATCACAATGTACAACATGCTTGGGTTTGGAAAGGCACTGTATAAATTAAAGTAGTAGTTACTATAATTGTTGTCATTGTTGTCGTTGTTGCTTGTCACTGACAGAACCTATTCATTTGTCTGAGGGCTTCCTGTTATTTTAGCCAGTGAATATATCAAGTGCAACAAGGAACAGTGAGACTGCAGATTTTCCCCCTACCTCAGCTGCTCTCCTGTACTATAGTGTTGATTTTATTTTCCCCTTTTTCTAGCTGTGTCTAGCTAGTACAGTACTTCCTGTGTGGCAATTTCCTGTGACATCTGTATTACTCACTTTCTCATACCGCTGAACCAACGTAGCTTTCAACGTAACTTTTAACACCCCTTGTCCTCGCAGGAAAATTAAAACTTGAATAAAAGGACAGAGGCATCTGTAGCAGTTGCCTCCCAAATGTAAACAGCCATCCCAATTAAACAGACTTGTGTCTCCCCCTGACAGGCACTGAGTTTCACGTACGATTGCCCTCTGATTACCTGATAGCAAAGTACAGTAGTGAAACAAATTGGATGGGAACCGAAACAAACCATAAAAGAACCATGTAATTTACATTGCATTTATGTGGGCTGGTACTATAATCATGAGAGTTACAGAATTGCTCCCCAGTGTGCAGTAATTCATTCCTAAACTTTTCTAACTCACTCTTCCAGTAAATCACAGACGTGATTTACACATTGGTATTCCTTATGAAGAGTCAGCATTGACTGGTGCAGATCTGTGACTCTCGATTAGAGCAAAGCACCCAGCAGGCAGCACACTGCCAGATGGACACCGTCATTTTGACACATTTGTCACAATCCAGGCTCAGACTGGCAATATCAGCATTAAATGGCACAACCTGTACTCTCAGAGGGCACCTTTCTTGGATGAACCACTTGCGATTACCCCTCTTCTAACACCGGTTTGTGAAAAAAAAAAGCCATTACTGACAGTTACAGGGAGACTGAATGATGGTGTTTCCCTCTCTAGGGAAGTCAATGATCATCTGAATTATGAACACAGAGTGTTTAACAGTGAAGAATTTCTCAAGTCCCGAGAACCAATGGACCAGCCATTTTACGAAAAGGTGATATTTTTATATATATTTTTTTAAAATGTATTTTTAATACTTTAAATATCAAACCACACTATGCAGTTAATTAACACAAGCTCATTGGATCTCCTACAGACATATTTCATGTAAACAAAATTGAGAAAATCCTTGTCCTCTTTCAGGTTTTAGAGACGCACATATTTCATTCCTTCCTGAAAGCGCGGCTCAGCAGGAAAATGGACGCTTTCAGTCGGATGGAGCTGAGCAGTCGATCGGAAGCCCATAGGTGATTCTCAGGTTATTGTATAAAACAGATCTGCATGTGGTGCATCTTAATACAGTGTCTCCCCTGTAATACAGAGTATTTAACAAGTATGCAGAGATCGAAAACATATAAAGCAACATTTATTTCAAGAATTGGTTTGCTTATGGACAGCACCAGTCACATTCAGACATGTTAGGTGAACTTTAGTATTCTTCATCTGCCTTATTCTCTTACAATTCCTGGGACAGCAGTTCCTGAGAAAGAAATTGAGATTTTTTTCCTAGTGAATACGGATTTTGTTTTCCCATTACTATGCTACATTAAATTGTAGTTTTCTGACTCCAAATTGTTTTGGTACTTTTGTCTTTTCTGTTGATATTTTAAGAAAAATAAACCAATAATTTAATCTTGTGTGAGGCCTAGTTAGGGCCTGCCTTACCCTGAGACACTAGCAGGAGGAAATAATAAGAGAGGGCTCCTGCAGTTATGTTTTGTGTTACCCCACAGAGTGAAGCCCTCGATGGACTCTCCCCGAAGGCCTACCATGCAAGAAATGGCTCGAAAGTACAGCAGTCCTGAGAATCGCTTGAGCAAGCGCCTGGGGATGAGCATGCCGAACCTGGAAGAGGAGAGGACTGTGGGCTTCCCAGTGAGACAGGCCTCACTCAAGAAACTGGGCACAGAGAACGGTAGTAAATTACCTTTTTCCCTGTCGAAAAGGACTCCTTTTTCAGACTAGGGTTAATTTTGAAACGTAGTGTCTTTCCCGCCCTGGGTTCAGTTCTGGACCTGGGGTGCTTGTAGTTCTCCCCATGTTCGTGTGAGTTTCGTCCCACAATCCACAGAAGTGCTGGTGGGTTAATTGGCTTCTGGGATAATTGGCCCTGGTGTGAGAGTGTGTGTGTCTGTGTTTGTGTCGGTTTGCCCTGCAATGAACTAGCATCCCGTCTGGGGTGTACCCTGCCTTGTGCCCTTTTCTTGCCGGAATAGGCTCCAGCTTCCCTGTGACCCTGAATTGGAAGAAGGTGTTAGGAAGTGGATGGATAGATGAAAGTATGGGTTGTTCCAAGCGTATTTGTGCGAAACAAGTCCGACTTACAGTCGAAAGGCAGTTTTAACTCTGGACGCCAACCCGGAAGTTGTGATTTAGTTGCAAGCACATGTCCATGTTAGAATTACATGATTCATTTAATGGTTCATCTCAGAATCTAAGGAAGTCTACTGTGACGTCTTAACATTTAGCTTATGTGTCACGTGGGTATGGATTACAGTATACAGGCTACAAGTTATGTCTCTGATCTCTGTCCTGTATTACTTGTCATACTACAATCTCTCATTGGAGTGTGATTTCCTTCTCCCCCTCCTTTTTTGTACAGGTAAACATTTTGGGAGTTTTGAGAGAAACCCTCTGTAAGACAAACAATTGCCTGAGGACTAATTTGCCTAAGTGGTTTTAACTTTGTTACTGTTGAAGTATTTATAAGCTACTGTACATCTCATGGGTGAAAAGGCCACTCCAACTGAATGTAGAAGGATTGACTGAATTTTAACAAAATGTAGACGCCTACAAAATCTGTGCAATTTTAATGAGATTAATAAGTGAATTTCTCAAAGAGGACAGTTTTCTGTCAGAAGCAGTTATGGCAGTAAGATAGGTGGCCTCAAGCTTCAAGTTCTTTCATCTTGGAGTGTGGATATTATTGACCTATTTATAATTATTATTTCCCCAAGAAGTAACACTGCAACAAAGTGAATGGTTTAGCAAATCTAAGAGGTATTTTCACTATGCTTGAATCTGTGTGAAGGTTGTGTTCTCTCTTTATGTCTTTTTCTCCATGTATCTATACATTCTGCGCAGCCCTTATGATTCCCAAGATGCCCATCACCCTGTTTAAGCTCCCAGAGTTCCCTGCGCCCTTAGTTTACCATTATGTCCAAAACTATTACTCGGAACTGATAAGCCTGCTGGGGAAGGCTATTGCCAGTGTGCCTACGGAGAATTCCACCCTCCTAGCCAGATACTTCTACCTGCGGGGCTTCATCAACACCATCAGCGGGAAGAAGCTAGATGCTCTGAGCGACTTCCAGAACCTCTACAAGACGGACATCGAAATCTTCCCCACGGACCTGGTGAAAAACCTGGTGGATTCCCTGGCGCGGGAGGAGCGGGCCCAAGCCGATAAGCGCTCGGAGCTGAAGCGGCTGATTAGCAAAATGAAAAAAGACAACGAGCGGGACCTGGTGAAGTCGGATGACCACGTCAAGAAGTTTGAGCTCCCAAAGAAGCACATGCAGCTGGAGGATTTCGTCAAGCGGATCCAGGAGTCTGGTATAGTGAAGGACGTCGGGACAATTCATCGCCTGTTTGATGCGCTGACTGTCGGTAAGTGGGAGGGGGTTCCTCACAGGTCTTACGGAGAACCAAGATATTTCAAAAGAGAGTGCCTCAGGGCTGAATTGGAAATGGTCAGAAAAACAAGGAGCGCTGTTGCTTTTTTGTTCTTATTTTGTAAGGTTTTCTTGATCTGTTAACAACCAGTCATTTTATTTGACTTTTTTTTTTCTGGCTTCTGACCATGATTTGGCAATTCCTGAGGAAGAGATGAGTAGTGGATGAAAGGACATGAGAGTTCAAATAATTCAAATTCCTTCAGAAGACAATGAGAAATGGAATGAGCAATCAGGAACTAAATTGCCTTTGTGTATGGAATGCAGGCAGAAGTATGCTTGTTTGACCTGGTTGTTCAGTTTACTATAAGATGGTAAATTGCTCAATTCCGTTTATTTCACTTTCAGGTGATGTCGTTGTTTGGTTCTGACCAGATGTAATCTTTTACGTTGTTTGCCAATTTTTCTTTTTCATTGTGTCATAATCATGTGTGCTTGAGGTGATTATTGCAAGCTTTTACCAACTAAATCATAGGCGACCGAGAGCCCTGATTTGCCCTTCTAATGAGCCTGCAGTACATGCTACATTATGATTGCAACTTCCTACAAAATCAGTGACTTATGTACAGTATATGTGTTTGTGTATGCTGTTGATCACACATATATACAGCATGTATATATGCGATCACATTATATATGTATATACACATTTATGTTATCATACATATACATGTGATTACTTAATGGGTGCATAGAATGCTAAATCTGACTGTCCCTTAATCCACTTCATTAGAATCTTTTAAGAGTGGCTTGAGTTGGCAAGGTCTGGATGCAGCAATGAGGGCATCTTCGCAATCTGTATTTTACCTTGATTCGTCTCTGGATGGTAAGCAAAGCAAATGTGAGGCTTGCAAAGTGGCTGTGCCTGTCTGAATCACAGCTTGGGAATGGGAGGGTCGCTTGCTTTCACCAGTCCTTCTGTTTGCTTTTCGAAGTCTGCGTTAGCTTTTTTTTTGCTACACTTTTGTTGCTGCCAGGCCTTTTGTTAACACGCAAAATAATTTGTTTTTCAACATTTGTGCTCTCTCTGCAGTGTTTGCATTGCTACACGTCAGCTTCTGAACTAATATGTTTTCTCTCAGCCGTGTTTGGGCTTTATTTGAAGAGTTTTGTGTATTTCCTGTGTTTTATTGTATTTGTTGGGTCTCAATTTAATGTCATGCACAGAGAAATCCGTGTTGAAATTTGTGAGGAAGGTAAACAGTTTTATAACAACAGTAGGTCAGCTTTTGTTTCTTGCAAACACTGTACTGTGTACAAAATTCAGATTATTCATAGCCAAGACAGGGAAGTTGAACTGGCTGGTTTAATTTGTCTTTCAAATATCCTGTAGTATTTGGATTTGGATTAGCATCTAGATGGCACCATGCATGTTTTAAAAGCCCCACACAAGTAAACGTGTATTTATATATACAGTACATATATGTACATAATCTGTATCAGTTCAGGTGGGTAGCTGCGTCAGCATGCATAGGCTGCAAAGGAACAAGTAATAGGTTTATTCCATGCTGAAAAGAGAAGAAAGAAAACAACGTTTCGGCCGTGGAGCTTTCTTCATTTTTGCAGCAAGTATTCTGCTATTTAAAAAAAAAAGCGATTTTCCAAGTCAGTATAAAAGAGAACTTAAAGAGACTGAACAAAAAAAAAGCAGAAAGGCAGAAGAGTTCAATTGGAATTTAAAAAAAAAGCATTTGCTTGGTTCTGTAAGTGGTAAGTGGAAAGTTAGTGTCATGAAACAAAAAGGGCCTTTTTGATTGAGCCAGACCTTGTAGTTTTTTATGTTGTTGTAAAAACAAGGCGGTCATCTTTTGATTAAGGCCTCTCCTTATCAAAACATTATGTAGTTCAATGAAGATGATGCCCAAACATACAAAAGAGCTTGTTTTTACCATTGACAAGGGTATTGTGATCTTATATCAGATATTTCAGGAGGAAATATATGAAATATATTATTTTTTGGTGTAAGTCTTGTTTTAATTTTCCCTTATTTTATTGTCGGAGATGCTTATGGTCAGTTAAATTATATAACCTGCGTTCTGAATGTTGCGTGAATTGAATTCATGAGCTAGTTTCAACTCTTTGCTTGTCGGTTATGACTGTATTTTTATTTTTGGCGTGCTGGTTGTCTTTTTTACAAGAATTGCGTACACATACTATAGGTTTATTCCTGTTTGCACAGAACTAATTTCACTACTGGTATGCAGGTCATTCAAGGCTGATACTTTGTTTCCAATGATTTTCATATCCTAGGTCAGCATTATATTTATTTCTGTTTTTGAGGAAAGTTTGAGTTGATTGTAGCTCAGATAAACCCGTTTTTTTTTTTTACTTTGCAAGAATACGTAAAAAGGTTTGTAAAAGATTACTATTGCCATTCTTTCTGCTGTGCAGTAAACTTGCTAATGTAGGTTTAGAGTAAGACAATTGCAGAACAGGTACAGTAGGTCTATAAGTTAAAGTTTAGCCAGTATTTATTCAGTACATCAATCAGACAAGTAAAGCTGATTGGAATGGTAATGTTTCTTTTTATTGGGGGGCGTAGCAGGGTGGTATTTTATAATAAGACGTCGAGCTAAAAGCTTTGTACTTTTTCCACTTTGTGATGAAATACCTGCGTAGTTCAATCTCATTGCGAATGAGTGAAAAAGAAACTCTGGTGCTCTTTTTTCTGCTGCTTTCATCCCAGGCCAGCAGAAGCAGATTGACCCCGAGGTGTTCCGAGTCTTCTACACTTTCTGGAAGGAGACAGAGGCTGAAGCCCAGGACGTGCACCTCCCTGCCGAAGTCATAGAGCACCTGGACACCAACGAGTGTGTGTACAAACTGTCCTGCTCTGTCAAAACCAACCATGGCGTGGGCAAGATTGCCATGACGCAGAAGAGACTCTTCCTACTCACAGAAGGCAGACCAGGCTACATTGAGATCAGCAAATTCAGAGACATAGAGGTAGCTCACTTCGTATTGTGAGGCATGAATTTTTTAAAATTTGAAAAAATGTTTTCAGAACCCCATCCCCCCACCCCCCACCTTCTCCAGTTTCCTGCAGTTTCTGAATGGACAGTTTGACATTCAGCTGACATGTTACGTGCTATCTGGTGGCAACATTGTCTTGAAACCACTTTGCCCAGCTCATTAATGAAACCGAGGTGGTGACAAGACAAATGTGGTTACACTGTGGCAGGGAGACACAACTAGCCACCTGATACTCTCTGCCGTCTTAGCTAGTAGTAAGCAAGAAGAAGGAACGCGTCTCACAAGGTTTGCAGGAAGGATCAGCCGCATTAGTAAACATGACACCCCAGATATTGTTCCTAAATCAACACCAAAGGCCCATCACACAAGGTTCGTACTGGAGTGTCATTCCTGTCCCAACCCCAGGTAGCTTGATTGTTTTTGACAGTGGCTATCTTTCATGAAGTTATTTTTAGTCTGCCCAGACTCCTCAGCATAAATTAGTACAGTACTTCCAAGTTGTTCTCCGGAAAAAGAAATGGCAACTCCGTGTCTGTGTTCTTCACACAGGAAGTGAAAATTTCTTCTGCGCCTTTCCTTTTACTGAGAGTGCCTTCGTTGAAGATCAAGACGAGCTCAAGAAAAGAGGTTTTCGAAGCTAATCTGAAGTCAGAGTGTGACCTGTGGAATCTGATGGTGAAGGAAATGTGGGCTGGGAGGAAGATGGCGGATGATCACAAGGTTAGAGACCTCACATACATGCGTGTTAGGAGGAGCAATGACCAGCAGTGGACAAACACACAGGTGTCCAGGGAGTGAAAGAAAACCTAGATTATTGGGACTGAATATTCTTATTGTAGTATATTTATACTATACTCTCATTATAGTATATCTACAGCAACACATTTTGGAAGAATTTGAGGGTAAATTTTTAAATAATCGATTCCTTAAAGGCACTTGCCATTGATTGAGTTTTTGGCCTCAGACATTTGTTTGTTCGAATCTGGGTCTTGTCACCAGCCATCCATGGCCGGGATTCTCTAGCACAGTGGTGCACAGTGTCCCCAGACGATGACTTAGGATTAATTGGCCAGGATTTTGTCGGCTTACAGTGAAACAGTGACTCCTGCAGCCTTCTGGGCTTCTGCGGGATTGCAGTGACGTCAATGAGAGACCCCCCCCGTGGCTCAAGGTGACACTAACGCGCTCTCAGAGGAACTGTGGGGCTATGAGCTTGGATCTGATAGGGGAGCAGGTCGGAGCCTCACTCCTGCCTGTGCTCACTCTCCTCCCTACAGGACAGGTGTCTGGCTCCATGATTTGGGACAGACAGAAAGAAATGGGGATTCCAAACTAGGTGGGGATATAAAACCAAAAATACAAAAAACAGTAAAAGAAACAAACCATTCTTGCAGTCTTGGTGAAACCCATTTTAAAGAACCCCCCTCCTCACAGCTGTAGCCCAGATGAAATGTTTTCAAACTTTACTAACACAAATTCTGTTCATGAGTTCAATATAACCAACCTAACGGTATAGGAGTGTGGAGGCAATTTCAGAATCTGGCCGTGAAGGTCAGCACCTTTTTGTTGTTTTTATTAGTTATAGACGTAAGAAATGCCTTTTCCTTTCATTTACCACATTTGTGCTGTCAACACCCACCAAACAATATTGTTTGCTTTGGCATATAATTAAGACTTTTCCTGTATTTGTAGGGTTAAGTATAAGCACATGCCACAGTGTTTTGTTTATAAATAAATATTTTCAGATGAATTACAGTACTTTTTAAACAGGGCTTCCTCCCGTGTTCAAAAGAACGCCTTATATTTCATTTGTAGTCTGCTTTTACGTGACGTGTGCTTTTTAGCCACTTGAGGACTTAATCAGATTTTCAAAGGGGAACTAAGAGAACTGTACTGTTAACATAGAAAATGACCAAGAGTTTGTGCCAAGTTCTAATGAGGGCTGTGCCTTAATTAGGGTTTTAATATATACAAGCTAAAAGACTTAAAAGCATTTGCCTTGGCATTTTCTAGAATTTTGCCAGTATTTTTTCACCTTTTATAGCTGCTATTTGGTATTATAAAATGTTATTCAACCCAGCTGATACTACAAGTCCATTGCAAGAGACACAAGCAGCACGCACTCGCTTGCCCTGGAACACAAGACAGAAAAGTCACACGTTTCTCTTGGTCAAGAGAAACAAAAAACGCAGAAATTCTGTTGTTGAGTGGATTATGTGCACGGATTCCACTAAAAGGTCTTGTGTGAGCATTGCCAGTAATAGTGGGTGCTGTTGGACAGGAAACCAGGATCCAACCCCTCCCTTTCCTAACATATAATAGTCATTGGAAAGTTCCAGTCAGTCTAGAACACAGCCTGGAACTTCATTACTGCCCTCTGAGCTGTAGGTGTTGTCCTGCCTTCCACAGAGAGGCTTTTTACACCTGAACCCCTCTAGAGCTGGACAGCTTTTTAAGAATGTTGTCATCCTCAAGTTAAACTGCCAGCCAAGGAGCTTTGTGAAGAAGGATAAGGACAGGTTCTTTTTCATATCTCATAAAGGAGGCATAGGCTTAATGGGTTCCCACACGCACCACACATGTACGACTGGGGTTTGATTTTCTTTATGAATGTTGTTAGCTGAAACTACCAGCAAAGTTCACTGAAGAGTGACTACCAGAAACACAGAAAGGGCAACAGTATGGGCCATAAGAACAAAACATGATCTTCAGACCTCATAGTAAACAAATTGAATTGAAGTGTCTATGTGTTTTCAAGACAGGGCACTGTATGATTACGTATTAATAGTTTCTGTTTACTCTAGGATCCCCAGTACGTGCAGCAGGCTTTGACAAACGTTCTGCTCATGGATGCTGTGGTTGGTTGTCTTCAGTCACAGAAAGCTATCTTTGCTGCAACTAAGCTGGCATACTTCGACAAAATGAAGCATGAGGGTATGTTTGGGATTTTTTTTGTTGTATAACTGTGGTGCACTAACACCCCAGATACCACATGTCCACTAGCCCACTTTGAGGTATACCTCAGACAGGCTGTCTGGCTGAAGGGTGTTTCCATCTTGTACTGAGGAGTACACCCGTCAGGGCATAATTTGCCGTTTCTGAGTCTCAATTCGAGGTGAAAGTATCCTCACGTAGCCTGGGAATGCAGTGTCTCTTTGTTGCATTCCAAACAATGACGAGTGAAAGCGAAACAACTTGAAAGCATCAAAAGCACAGACTTGCAGACCTCCTCCAAGGTGCTTTTTTAAAGCTTTGTTGCTCTTAATAAGATCTGAAAAATTCAGCGGTGCCGCCCCTGAAAGCAAATATTACAAAATGCCTTTGCTAGCAGGCTAAATTGAGATGATTCCTGGCATTCTCAAATGTAATACAAGCTATATCTGTGTCATCATCTGCGCATTTTGTTTTCTTGTAGTTCCTATGATGGTTCCCAAAACGACATCCGAGACCTTGAAGCACAAGATTAACCCGTCCCTTGATCTGACAGCTCCTCAGGCTGTGGATGTCTTGCTATACACTCCAGGTAGGACAAAAGAGGCATCTTGCATTACCAGTTTCCTGGTTACTTGCGTCATTGCTTCCCCTAGGGCTCTGCTCTCCACTGCAGGCTTCAGTAACAGTGTTAAGTTTCAGTTTCTTCAATAGCCTTTTAGACACGGTCAGAAAAATAGAAGCTTCTTTTTTTTATCTATTGTACTTCACTTGATAGAAGAAAGAGGAAGAGCTGACTAAAAAGTGGGTGTAACTTGTGGGACATTTTGTTTTAAATGTCGTGAGCTGTGGACATTACGTAGTTGTTCAACATTGTGCAGTTTGTTCACTTACAATATACAACTATTAGCATGTTAAATAATATTCAAATACGTATACGGTAGGATAAAAAGTGGTAAGCTGAGACAGAGCAGTAATACTTCAAGTCAGGTAGTAAAGTTCTGAACATTGGAAAAACACATCCAATGCATCAGATGAAAGACAAGGAAGAAGATTTGAACTCTAAACAGTCCTTATTTCTCATTTTCTACATTATATAAAGTTAATGGGTAGTTAAGGAGGCTGTGTAGATTCCTTTCCAGTAAGAACAAACAAGGTGAAGCTTTTTCTACAACACACTAGTAAGAGAACTGTAGAATTCTACATCAGCAGTAGAACAAAAAAAAGATTTTAACTAGTTATTCTTATGTTAAGTCTTTTTATTGTTTGTGCTGTCTTGAAGATATAAATGATGTGTTAGCTTCTACAAGCTGTTTCCCATTTTGTATTGATAGTGTATTGTTTTCTATCTGCATTTAAAAACTGCACTTGTCTTCATCATACATCTCTGTCAGGTTGTCGTCCTGAGGCTCTCCATCCTAAGCGCCTGAGTGCAACATTCGTTGGGTCTAATACATCACTCATTACCCTGTAAATGGTCCAAAGGTTTCCTGTTATTATCACGGATTCATTTTACTTAATCTTTCTTTACTTTTTTACTTAATATTTAACAGCCATTTTATAAAGTGCTGTCATTATCCATATGGTTTTACTTCATGTATTAAACCATGTGAGCCATTTCCTGCTACTGTTTGATTTGCATACTCTGGAGTTCAATCTGTTTTTTGCTTCAAACAGAATACCTTTGGACTGTTTACATCCATTGTATACTGATTCAATATCCATCTTGTCCTATTTTACTTCTCTTACACTGATTCATGTCCTCATAGTCTGCTTTCCTGAAATTGTGAACATTTGCTGTGTACTTAGTTTCTGTACTTGAACCCTGTACACTTTCAAATTATACCTAAAGGCATTCCATATTATGATCAGTTTCCTAAGAATTCTCTCCCCTTTGTTTTCGTAACTCTGTCTTGATTGTTTAAAAAGATTTACAGTAATTAAAGCGCTTTGAGAAGCCACCTTTAAAGGCGCTATATAAAATAAAGTTTGTTATTATTATTATTATTATTATATTAAGTGTGTCTACAGTTTGACTTTCTGTTGCTGACATTCCCATTGGTTTTCCCCAGACTATGTGAGGAAAGTTAAAGTCTCCCATGAAGACTTCTTCTTATACTCTTATATTCTTAAGTTCTTTATTAAGTGGGAAATTATCATTGATAGCTGAATTTGGAGTTTTGTAGCATCATTATATATTTTTTAAAAGTTCTAGTTTAACTGAGCAATACAGTTTCTGAGACCTTTGCTTTATCTATCTCAATTTCCTGTGCACAATATTCTTTTTGATGCTACATCTCCCCCTCTTCCACCTTTCCTGTCTCTCTCCGATAGGTTCCAGTAGAACTTACTTTCTCTTCAATCTGCTATGGGGGCATTTCAATTTAAAAAAAAATAAATTTGAAAAAGACAAAATGTTTTTTTTTCTTGATTAAAGTCAAAAGAAGGCTTTAGATAATTTTACAGCTCCATAAACCTCTTTACATTAGTTATGTCAATACAACCTGTGGTCATGCATGCCCACAGAACTTCCTCTTAACGTATTTCCTAACCTTAACCTTTACCGTAACTGCAGTGCTATAAAAATAGCCTGTGGAAATCGCTATACGGATGATTTAAAAAGCACCTGTTAGTAAAACCCAAATAGGAAAGCAATAACATAATACTGCCAGTTGAGCTGAAATTGACTCCAATAAAGCAAGTCTGTGTGTTTTTTTTTGGTTTTCCAGTGTGTTCATTTAACAAGATGAAATAACTTTAAGCAGAATATCTTTAGAACTAGCAACCTCAGGAGAGCTTTTTAACCCTCCTATTCTGAACCATTAAGTTGAGTGTTTTGCATTTGAGGCAGACTCACACGATTGTGTTGCTGCAAGTGATCTCAGATTGACCTCATGCCATTAGTAACACTGCTGGATGAGAACCACACACTGTTAAAGCATTTGACCCATTTGTGGGCTGAGCATTTCCCTCATGGAAAGAAGATCCTATCAGTCGCAATGCAATTTTCTTATTTACAGAGTACATGTTGAAAAACGCATGGGCATTGCTAAATAACAGCTCATGGCTCTTTCTATGACTAGAAAAGGCATGAGGAAACAACTCATCAAAATTGTTACTACATAGCTTTAAGGTTTGATCATAGGAACAGTTTTAATTTGCACTTTTACCACATGCCTGTGTATTTCTTACTTTTACCTGTGATGAGACATGCAGTTTCTTTTTTTAAGCTACACAGATATGTGGGATACGCCATCTTTCTTAAGCTGTTACTTGCCAGACCCTCCTAACTGGCTGCACTAACTGAAGCCATTTTCCTGTCCCCTTCTTTTAGGCCAGCTGAGTTTCTCTGATTCTGGCAGCGATGGGAACCCAAAATTATGGTGTGCGCTCAGCGATGGGAAGGTAGTGGTGTTCGATGCAGCGAGCTGGTCGATACAGCAGAACTGTATTCAAGTGGGAGCCACCCGACTGGTAAGATCAGAAAGGAAGAACCTTTTGAAACCTCAGTACACCATTGCCACAGGGAACCATGACAGAAAGAGCCCTTAAAGATCACAGATGTTGCGTTCTACTCTGTTACTTCCCCACTCTCACACATGTGTCTTCATACAGTAGCTAAATTTGGAAAAGGGAAACAGAATAAAAACATGCAGACGTACGGTTATGGGAAAATTACAAGAGATGGCTGGGCCTAACAGCTCACAACAGCTTTGGCTAGTTTAGATTGTATTGTGTTCACTTCTAATAAGAGCAGCTCATCTGTTAAATCGAAGAGATGCCCAAGAGGCGCTGTTTCTCAGTCAGTTTTGTGAAGCCACAATTGACTTTTTGGGTAATGTTGAAGTAGATGTGACTGAAATAAAAAATCTCAGGAAAAAAGAATAAGAATTTTGTTTTTCATTTAAAGAGAAATGATCAGTTTTATCTCCCTGGGCTTTTTTAAAGTCTAGATATCTAAGAGTGGATAACCTAATCAATAAGAATACAGATGTTGAAAGTCAGAAACCTGCTTGAGCAAGCAAATCTGAGTTGCTTTTACATATCAGCAATAGTTTTTTTTTATTCAAGCTTACATGAAGATCACTTGGCACTTAACAGAAGTATTTAGAGATTTTGTTCATGGAGGAATGGGTTAAATTATGACTTCTGTCTGTGTCTCTACATGGTTAAATACAGTAAATATGTTTATCTTCATTTAGAGGTAGAGTGTCTGAATTTCCCAATCCTCTGTGTGCTTAAAATAGGTTTCTTTGAATTTCACAGCTTTCCATGCTCCATTAGGAATAATATCGATTAAAGGGTACTGTACACAGTGTCAACAAAATGGACAGTTCTCATTTCTGAATGAGTCAGAACAGTTCACATTATCTTCTTAAAGCAGAGGCTGCTATCTGCTCAAGAAAAAGTTGTGGATTAAGCTTGGTGCATTAAGTATTCTTTTGTTGATTGATAAGGTCTTGCAGATAAAGCTGTTCCACTCTGTCGCCCTCTGGTGTTTCTGTTTTTATTTTTCTTGGTTAAAAAACCCAGTTTGCTTACACTAGAGATTACAAATAGTCCCATTTTATTTGGGTTTTTACAGAAAAATGATGAATTAACTGCTGTGTGTTACTTCTTTTTTTCTGTGGATTAAGTTATTCAGAGACTATAAACACCTGTTTCTGTTTGTGTAGAACTGCATGCTGGGCTTGGATCAGAGCCAGGTGTGGATTGGCTCCCGGGATTCTGTCATATACATCATAAACATTCGGAGCATGTCCTGTAACAAGCAGCTGACTGAGCACCGCAGTGAGGTGACCGATATAGCCACAGAGGAGAAAACTGACAAGTTCAGGTAAAAGACATCATCATCATCATCATCATCTGTGCGATACAGCACTAACATGATTTTGTCAGTAAGATCACAAATTGGCCTTCTTTAAAAATCAATTTATATTTATTATTGCCATTTTAGAAGTCAGATGTTTCTGATCTGACCAGAATTCTTTATTTTTATCATTTAAAAAATATTTATTGTAAAATATGTTTACATTTTTAACAAGGGAGCAAAGCTGGTTTATTTCCTAGAGTAGCATCCCCTAAAACAGATGAAACTAGTCAGCATGTTGATGGGTAATGTCTTGATTGTCGATAAATGAAAACTCCTTCTTGCTCTTCACCTAGATTAATCCTAATGTGAGTTTCTAAATCTTATAAAAACTTGCTCTTATCAAGCTGTATTGTACGCTCATTTGACGTACTTTATTTAGCAAAAGTCTGCAGCCAATAAGTACAGTACATTCTGTAAACATTACTTTTTTTTATCCCCAAATTGTGTAACCCTTATTAGCCAGATGCAAGCCTACTCCTGCAGCGCTGACGGCACTGTAATTGTCTGGGATGTGTTCACACTTAAAGTCAAAAAGCAGTTTCACGTGACTTGTGAGAGACTCACTTCCATCAGGCCAATGAATGGAACACTGTGGTGCTGTAAGTATACTGGTTAATCTTTCTTTACAACTACCAGTTTAGTTTTCATTTCCTTGTCTTTTTTTTCAGTCATTTGTAACACAAACTCCGATCCCATCCATATTTGACTTGTTTGATTCGTATTTTGGATAATGCTGTCCTAGTTGTCAAGTATGTAGTCCAGTCGAGGCAGGATAGTTATGAATGTTATTGGTGTCCTTTGCTTACATGTCTAGGTGGTAAAGACTGCATCGTAGAACTCAGGAAAAATGGAATGACAAATCGCAAGATGACACTTCCAGACCATCTCAGAGATATTCCTACATTCTTCTGCAGTTTCATACTGTTTATCGAGGTGGGTACAGTCTATTGACGTAACTCACATGTGGTGGACAAAAAAATGGAAACACCAGGTTAATGAAGGACATCGAGTACATTGGAAGGAGGGGCTTCCACACAGGCTCATGGTTCATGGGACTCGCTCATTAATAAAACAGATACAATCCCAACATGCTGACGGTCATGAATAAAAACCATGGACACGGCCGGGTTGACTTTAATTATGGCTAGCACGACTGCAAGAGAAGACATTGGGGGACTTGGTAAGGCGTGAATGTTGGGGAGCCTCTGTCAGGAGCTTCAGTGACCATGATGACTGAGCCTGCTGACATTTCACGAGCAGCGATGCCTTTGGTGGCGACTCCAAGGGAAAGGGGAAAGTGGAAAAGGGTTGATTGATTTTGTCCTTCTTTTCTTCTTGAATTAATTCATCTTTGCCATTCCAAGGGAGGAAGAGGGGAGTCCCCTTCCGGGGATGCCGTTTCTTCTGTTCTGTGTACAATTCTACCACAGACTATAGTATCTGAATAGTGAATGTGTTCAGAGTGAAATGTGTGATGTTAGTAACCATGACTCCCAGTAAGAAGTAGTTGGACTGGTACATGTACCTCACGTAGAAGAGCACTGACTTTGGTATCCTAAACTTAATAAGATGACTCCACAGTTAGGCTTTATTACACTTATAGAAATGCTTTTCCATGAATATACAGTATACTAACTGGGGGAGGCCTTATAGCGCAGTGAATAGCACTTCTTCTTCACAGTGCTGTGGACCTGGGTTCGATTCCCAGGGCGCTATCTGAGTGCAATTTGTATGTTGTTCTGATGTTTGCGGGGGTTTCCTCCCACAGTCCAAAGACTTACAGGTAATTTAACTGGCTTCTGGGCAAACTGATACTGTGTATACACTGTGAAAGACTGGTGTCCCATCCAGGGTGTATCCTGCCTTTTGCCTGGATAGGCTCTGGCTCCCCCCTAACCTTGAATTGGAGAAAGCAATTAGAAAATGGATGGATTTCCGAATTTGAAAAAGCTATGTATGGTTTTGCATTTTAAACAGTAGGCACGGTCGATGTGTAGCCTAGGCCCTATACAGCAGTGTGGTGTCAGAGCCCGATCCCGACTGTGTTTCAGAAGGACCAGCTGTGGACAGGCTGTGCAGATGCTGGTGAGCTGTGCGTCTGGCATGTCAGAGACCTGACCAAGCCCTTCCACAGGATCCAGCTGCAGGACTGTGCCGGCGTCAGCTGCATGATAAAGGTCAAGAACCAGGTAATCTCTTACAATTGCTATAGAAAAGAGTTCTCCGTTATTGGAGACAGGTCATAACAAAAGGGATTCTGGAAGTTCGGTCAAATGCTGATCACTACAAGAAATACAAAGGGTCAGCATACTTCATACGTTGTCGTTAACTCACCTGGCACAGAACTATCACAGTTTCCCTCCCTTATGAGGAATGAACTAGGGAGCCGCTGCAAGGGTGCAGTGTAGGTGCTGAGAGGGGAGTAGGAAGGATGTGCACAGAGATGTGGGCAGCCAGGGAGTATTTGTATGTAGGGGATAAGCAGAAGTACGAGATAATAATTTGACCTTCTCCTGAACTTCTTTTTAACAACATTTTTATAAGTAACTCGTAACTTCAAAGTTTGGTTTTCTTTTTTCTTTGTGTGCTGCAGAAACAGTGGATATTTTATGACAGATTTGGTATATTCAAATGTTTCCTGTTTACAGTTCACTTTTGGGGAGTCCTGGGGAAATCTCTGTCTTGTCAAAAACAGTATTTTTAGATTATATTTTTTTATTAAACCATTAAGACATCTCCTCTTATATTCAACTGTCTATTAGACCAAATAAACAGCTTAAATGGTGTTTATCTTGCCAAGAATCTGACAATGGACTCTAAGTCACTTTAACTTCTGAAGTAGGGAAGGTATATCTCAGATAAAACCTTCATTCATCTCCCTTTCTGTAAGTGTTTAAAGTGCAGAAACAAGAGCAGGCTAGCCAGAATAGACTTCCTCCTGTTTATACTGAATGTACACTATCGGTTTAGTTTTCTGAAGTAGAATAGGTTCATGTCAAATATAGTCTTCAGTCATCTCCAGAACTGTTCAGTCTTGCTTCTCAAGGACTGCAGACCTCTTGAAAGTTATTTCGTGGTTAGAAAGAATCGGCACTGATGAGTGCTTTTCAAAACCACAATGAAGGTAGAACATACACAGTAACACTTCAAACCTCCAATTTACATCACAGAACCGGTATGCACAGCCCCATATTCTGCAATTCAGAATTGTAGATGCAGGCCTGTGGATACATCTCTTTGAAGAAATATCTCGACAGCGTTGCCTTTCAGTGGACCTTGCTTGCTTGTTGGAGACCCCATTACCTGTAAAGCGGTTTGAGTGGAGTGTCCAGAAAAGCGCTATATAAGTGTAAGCAATTATTATTATTACCATAGGAAATGGGAATAGCTGTCAAACGGGCTCAGTTAAGATAATTAAATTGATCAGATGTGGGCTAAACTGGTATATAAATCCGTAAAAACTGCAGCCCTCCAGAAATAGGTTTGGACAGCCTGGTCTAGGCTGCGGCTCTTATCCATCCTCTGACTGCCACTGTCTTCTCACTCTTGTGTATAGAGAACCTGGGTTATACTGCAAAATCCTAGACTATATACGGAAACAACCTTTTATTTCACAAGCTTCAATGTCCGGAGACAATGTTAAGCAGGGGCCCGGTGTCCCGTTTGTGTTGCCTGACAGATCTGGGTGGGCAGCCAAGGGAAGACTCCTGGGAAGCCCAGAGGGAAGATCTACGTGGTGGACACGGAGAAGCACAGTGTGGAGAAGGAGCTGGTGGCCCACACAGACTGCGTGCAGGCCCTGTGCTCTGCTGAGGACCGCTACGTGCTCAGTGGCTCGGCTTCCGAAGACGGGAAGATAGCCATCTGGAAGGTGGAGTAGAGCAGGCCTTCCGACCGGAGTTCGTTCCTTGAAGCCGTGGGCCGGTGGACGGACTTTTCCTTCTGCGGCATGCTGGGATCAGGATCTTCGGACCACGGGGGAAAACAAACTTGGCCTTCTGGGTGTGCAACAGGTTTTAAAATGGTGGGAGACACAGACCGTTTTTTGTGAAGGATAATTGTGATGGCGTGTAGTTAACTTGGGGGGAAGAGGACTCACAGAGCAGAGAACTTTCAGAAGTCATGTTGAAAAATCGCTCGAAGGCAAAACCACCACCCGCCTTTAGGGTATTTAGGATATTTTGAGCTGAGGTGGAATGAAGACATTGTGGATCCCCAGACTCATGTCTGGAGGTTCATATTATAGATGATGGAAATCTATGTTTTTCCATGATCTTCCATTTTAAGTACTAAAAATAATCTTTTCGTAAAGACGTACACATTTTTCTCAAAACATGTTTCTTTGAGAGTATTACTTTTAATTCAAGGTAGTCCTTGAAGTTGTATTTTTTTTTTTACTATGCACGTTTTTATTTATGTCAATGTAAATTATAGACAGTATCTCTCAGTCTATCGAGAAAAAAACAGTTGGTTTGAATTGTAGTTTAAAAAGACATTTAAACTACATTTAAAAACATTTAATTTAAGGAAAAAAGAATCTTCAGTTTTAAGTTAACATTCAAGAATGTAGTGTGATGTTGAGGTGGAAGTTGAAAACAAACCCAGGCAACTGAACAAAGGGATTATTTCATTAATTTGTTTCTGTACGTTCTTGCTTCTATACAACGTTTCCAAAAGAATACATTTTATAAGAACTTGGTTCCTTTTTTCAGGAGATTACTGCTAGGACTGAAATATATACTAATTTGAAGCTTAAGAAGAACAAAGTGTGTTTTACTTTGAACCAACCCAATTGTCTGTTTTCTTTTTTAACATGCGCTCATTCTGAACAAAATCATCCTCCAGTGATATTTAAGGATGTGCTGTTGACGCACAACCACATTTCACACGTATTGTTGTTTTCTTACATTAAGTACGGATTTTTTTTAATGTTTGAATACTATTTAATTAAATCTTGTTAAACAGTTATAAGTGAAAGCAATGTTCACTTGAATAGTCATATTTTGGAATATGACTGATTTACACTGTATATTGTTCCATCACCAACAGCTAGTTTTATATAACTACCAGTAAAAAATATAAGAAATGCTATGTAATTACTTCAAAAGGGTATATTTTGAAAGATGAACAAAAAAGAGCCTGTAAATGAAACCCTATATATAGTTATAACATTAAGGTTAATGGAATAGTTTCAATATTAAATAGCAACATGTTTGCACACAAAACGTTCTGCCTGTGACTCTTCTTTCTGACAATAATCCTGTCTTTTTGGGTTATCATATGAGCAAAAATGTACAATATCTTCAAAGCATCGTTCTGCTGTAAAAATTCACACTGGTTTGTTTAACATTTTGTTTTAATTAATATTTCATATTTCTTGAGGCTGGTTTCTTAGACCATGTTTATAAGTAGACTAGTTGTCCCAAATTAGAAGTAGGTAAGTGTTTCAAGAGGAGTACTTATCAGATACTATATAACCATGTATATTGCTGAACCCCAGATCAACTGCTGATAAAATTACAGGGCTGTCTCCTGCCTGAGGAGTTAAGGTAACAGCATGACTCAGTTAACACAGTAAGAAGACTTTCCTTGTTATTTCTGCAGCATGTTTGTTACCCACTTGCTGAATATGCCTCTAGGTAGCAAGCAGGGAGAGATCAGAGCTTGCACTATATCCAGATGTGGATTTCACATCACTTAGAGCTACTAGAGACCCTGGCAGTCCATCATTATATTCAAATATACTGTAATATATTAGACAAGTTATTAATATAGAAGTATTATATACTGTGTATATAAACATTTAGGTTTTTGAGCCATTAGTCACACTGTGGAACCTTCTAGTGCTTTTCAGTATCTCACCACTAGGTGGCATAGTTGGGAGAAATCTGAATGCTGAGAAGGCCAGACGTTTTTCCAGACACTGCTTATTTTTGTTGGCAGTTTTCTATAAAAAAAAAAAAAAAACATGGGGATATTGTAAATCTTGTGGGATTTCAGACTGTTTTTGAAGCATAGTATTCAACTCCTTCCTCCTTCACCTTTCTCCAGGTGACAATTCTCATTTGTGTCATAAGGCTTCAACAACACTTTTCACTTTGGAAAGGAAAGGAGAAAGGCCTCCAACACCTCATTTCCAGGTGGTTTTCCTTTTAGCAATAGCCACAGCACCAGGGCAACCAGCCCTCTCAACAGACACGTGGTTTTCCACAGCTACAACAAACTTTTACTGCTCTTCATAGCAGTGGCTATTGTACTTGAACATCTACCCTAGCACTGCATCTTGAACTTCCATTGCTGTTAAATTACTGGCTTATGAGAGTGGAATCACCACGACTCCAACAGCAATCACAAAGCCTGAAACTGTTGCAAGCTTTCTCTTCTGAGTCCCTCAACAGGACTAACTGAACTTACCTTGGAGTCCCTTCTTAAAGTCTACAAACACCTGTAACAGGTGTTTAATTGACTGATTGAGCAGCAAATGAGACAAAGGCTTTGCACACATTCTCATGCTGTCAATTAGCCAATTAATCCAGCACTACAAGAAACTGGCACAAGGTAGGATACACCCTAGATGGGACACAAACAGTCACACTAGGACCCACTTTCCCAGAAGCCAGTTAACCTACTGGTATGTTTTTGGACTGTGGAACCAGAGCACCTGGCAGGAACCCATGCAAACACAGAGAGAACATGCAAACTCCACACAGACAGCACCCCAGGTCTGGAATTGAACCCAGAGCCCCAGTGCTGTGAGGCAGCAATGCTAACACTGTGCCACACCGTGTCACTCTGTTGCACACATAAGTGTATGTAAATTATTTATCCTGCAGGAGAAGAACATATATACATTTGATGTGCCATGTGTAAGTCTATCCTGTCTTGTCTGCTCTTCTTTCTATAGTAAAGACACTTACCATGGTGATGACTGACTCTGTCTCTGACTGTTGTGACCCCGAGTGTCCCTGAAGTACACAGACAGACCAGAACATGACCATCCTAAAAAAGAGAAGGATATATAATGCCCTAGCTCAGGGGCACCCAATTCTGGTCCAGGAGGAGGAGACACCTGCTGGTTTTTGACTCAAGAGAAGTATGACTACCTAACAGAAGACTTTTGGACTGAAAAATTGTATTTTACTTAAGAAACGCAATAGTTAAAAGGCAACTAACATGTTAAAAATGTTAATGTTAACCTACTCAAAGGCTGTGAGATGCATGACCTTGGTACTTTGATTTAGAAATTCTGGCAGGACTCTTTATTTATCCAGTTTCTGTTATTCATGTTATTACTGGTATGTGCTAGGATGGTAAGCATAGATGTGCTGGGTGGATACTGTTTATTATCTCCCTGTGTTGTATATTTGTATTGTATGTCTTCTAATTGCATGAGTTCACCAAACCAGATTCCTTCCACACACCTGGTTGTTACGGCAATGAAGGACTGAACTTCAACTGCAAACAGTCACGGCTCAAATTAATTCTTTTATGAAGTCAATTAAGGACTTTATTGTGTCCTTGGTAGCTCCCTCTCACCTGCAGGTGGGTGTTCCCCAGGACCAGGACTGAGAACCTCATCTCTAGAGCACTTTCCTGGCTAATAGTGTAGGTTACTCCGCCTGGGAAAGGAGCCATCTCTGGCTGAAGCAATGAATGCTCTTCAGGATTCGATCGAAGCCAGAAAACACGCAGTGTGGTTAAACTCATGCTGAAACAGATCCTGCTGATAATTGAATTGCATCTATTTTTGCATGTTGTCATTGCCAGTAGCCATATCACCCTGCAACTCACAACTGGCGGGTCACCAGTGGGTCATTGAAGCTCAGCAGGTGTGAGCCCGGTCAGTACCTGGATGGGAGACCTCCTGGGAAAAACTAAGGTTGCTGCTGGAAGAGGTGTTAAATGGGGCCAGCAGGGGGCATTCAATCTGTGGTCTATGTGGGTCCTAATGCCCCAGTATAGTGACAGGGACACTGTACTGTAAAAAAAGGTGCCGTCCTTCAGATGAGATGTAAAACCGAGGTCCTGTCTCTCTGTGGTCATTAAAAATCCCAGGGTGTTTCTCGAAAAGAGTAGGGGTGTGACCCTGGTGTCCTGGCCAAATTTCCCATTGGCCCTTACCAATCATGGCCTCCTAATAATCCCCATCTTGGAATTGGCTTCATCACTCTGTTCTCCTCCCCACTGATAGCTGATGTGTGGTGAGCCTTCTAGCGCACCATGGCTGCTGTTGCATCAACCAGGTGGGGCTGCACACTGGTGGTGTTGGAGGGGAGTTCCCATTGCCTGTAAAGGGCTTTGTGTGGAGTGTCCAGAAAAGCACTACATAAGTGTAAGCGATTATTATTATGCTTCCTTATGAATATCCCCAGTAATGCATGTTGTTGTGTTTGTGGAAGATGACAGTAATTTCTCTTTGCATGGGTCTACTACAGCTTGACTCTTATGTTTTCCATACCCCTTTTCTCACGCCACTGGAGAAATTACTGATCGGTTTATATTGTTCTAGTCTATGATGTTGAAAAACACCACCGTGGGCAGAGCAAAATGGCCTTACCACTGAATTTCAGAATGTCTACATTGGTACTAAGCCATCTTCGAAGGGCCCTTGAGCTTTCTGCATGTTTGGTGCTCTGTTGTGGATAAAAAAAACTTAAAAGCAACAGACCTCCAAGGCTGGAATTCTAAATACTTTTAAAATTCAATTATCTGTACAGTAATAATCTGTATCTGATTCCCTAAATGTAATGTAAATGAAGAAATTCTTTAGACTCCAGTTTCAGACAGTACACTTGCTGGCACTTTTGCTCCTGTATGTACTGATGCTCTGAGTGATGACAGCCATACTCCAGTCATGGGAAGCTAAGATCACAGATCAATTACACTCCATCTGCGCTAACACACGCTGTACATGAGTATCAGCCACTTAGCCAACTAAAACAATAAGGCCAAACACCACTTATTTAGGATACATGCACACAGGACCCCTGTTCAGTGACGTGGCTGTGAATGTATTAATGTACAGAGGTGCAGCTGTAGTAAATGCGCATTGATTGACCTTATCTGTCACACATTCTACAGGAAGGGTCCTCTCTTCCCTATTTTGCTCATCAGCAAGAACCGCAATTGTGATGGATATTCTGTTTAAACTAAAAAATTCTAATTGTCAAATCAATAATTGAATGCCCCAGTCCGGCCCTGGCTTAGATGGGAAAAGGGAACGACCCAAACTATACTCCCACGCTGGTTCACGTAAACCCTGAGAGAACCCTGCCCAGAGCCGATCAGGGACCCTGGCACCAGGCCTGGGGCTGGTGTCCAAAATGGCGACATGGAGCCGTCATGTGGGCTCACTCCCTACGAGGCGAAGGATGGGGGTCGGGTATGATGGCAGTCAGATGACAGGCATGAGCAGGATAGACTACTTCTTCTGATATTCCTTGAAATTGCTGAGACCCCCAATTATTAAGACTGTACAATCCAAAACATAACATAAGATCACTTTAAGATACGATCACTTTATTGGCCATATACAATTTCTTGTATTAGGAATTTGTCTTTTCGCATAGCCGGCTTGCTCTCCATGAGACACACTGACAGGGAGAGAAGCTGGGGGGTCAGAGCGCAGGGTCAGCCATTTATACGGCGCCCCTGGAGCGGTTGGGGTTAAGGGCCTTGCTCAGGGGCCCAACGGAGTAGGATTCCTCTGCCGGCCGCGGGATACGAACCAGCAACCTTCCAGCCACAGACGCAGAGCCTTAGCCACAGAGCCACCGCTCCCCTCGTTTTGAAGAACATTCAAGACACACCACTGCCCTCACTCTTTCTTTACATTCACCATGGAAAAATACACAGAGCACACGAAAGAATGACAAGAGAAGCTGTTTAATTGAAATATATATATTTAAATTATTTTGTATGGGATTGTGAACAAAGCTTTTTCATACAACACTCTGTGGACAAAGAAGTCTTCTTTGTATGACCAATAAAACCCAGTAACCTCAAGAAACCAAAACAAAGGTTATACACTTCTTCAAAAGTGTCGAAAAGCTTGAAATAAAAAAAAAACTCCCAATAAAACCTTACAATTTTTTCAGTGAAATCATGCAACAGTATTTTTTTCCAACACCCCCGGCATTAAAATTCAGAGTGAAAGAAAACAAAAACACTAAAATAAAAACTTTAAGGTTGAACACAAAGAAAACAAAGACCATGTGTCCATTCCACCTACCTGCAGGAGTCTGGGCCTTTCCACACTCATGCACTGCAAGGTGTAACTTGGTTCAAACCGTACATGGACTCAATAAGGTTTCTCATAGAAACTCTAGAGAGGACACACTTCTCACTCCTGAGAGAAACCCTCTCCAGCCATGACCTGGCCCACTCCAAACATACAGAAGGCACAGAACCCTGTTTATCATCATTGTTTTGTGTGTGTGTGCCTGTCCTTTCTGTGACATTTGATGGTCTGTCTAAAGTGCTTTCAGCATGCTTTACGTTGCTAAAACTGATGGGCACAAAATCACATGCCACATGCAGTGATGGTCACGAACGGGAACTCATAAAGAGATTAAGTTTTGCCCAACATAAGTCAACCTTTTTTGCTTCAGGACGTAACCCCTTAAATATCCCCCTTTCTTCCAAACCCACGATGTAAACAATAAACACTGCGTCTAATCCTTACAGAAACTGTGTTGACATGGTCACAGAGTTCTGGTTCTCTTTAAGCATGTCTTAAGATAGTAAACTATCATGCTTTCAAACCAAATTGAAGATGGTTTGACAGCCAGTGGGGTTTCCACAGGTTTGCCTACTGGCGTACAGTGGTGCAGTCTAGTCCTGTGCCCCCACTACATAAGGAAGGCCTTTGTCCAATTAGTGCCCTCATCACACAGTTCCCAGCACTAGCTCTATTGCAACACCTCTTTGCTTTAATCCCTTTTGTCTTTCAATACCCTCATGTGTTTAACACACGCTCTTATTTAAAAAGTTAAATGACATTACTATACTCGGCAAGAGCTACAATAGCGCCCCAACTTAATAAGTTGATAAAAAAAGCAGTTGATTTACGATCAGTTCACTACGGAACCAAATATTCAAGAAACAAACAAAAAAAAGAAACAGATCCAACAATGAAGTGCCTATTTGCAGACTTGAAAAAGGAGAGCAACTACACCACGCGTGTAAAAGAGATTATATAAAATTTTAAATTAGTGTAATTATGAAGTTCCTAGAGGGGTTAATCTGTGCTATACCTGAAGCACATTATGATCAGCAGAGCAAAAGTGGTTTGCCCAACTGCTCCCATTACGTCAGGTGACTCAGAAAGAGTCCTGAAACAGCTGCTGTCACTCAAGAGACACCAAAAGAGGATTTGTTTATTCAGACATTGCATTGGACAAATAGACCACTGACAGTCTCCTGCCCCTTTCATCTCTGCTTCATATATTTTAAACCCCATCTGTTTTATTTTGTGTCAGGTAATTAATTCTAACATTAAAGAGTAAGGTCAATTAAGCTAATTTCATTCACCTTTCATCTGCCTACAGTCTGCTACCCTTCCACAAAGAGTTGAAGAAGAAAAGCAGACGAAAACAGCCTGAAAAGTGCTTGACGCTGTTTGTTTTGATGCACGCATATATTTAAATCCTTGCGGTATTTTGCACACAAGGTATTCCTTGTTTCCTGCTGTTTGTGAAGAACTATAAAGTTAATTTCTGAAGCTGGGCAAAAACATTTAAAAACATTTCCAGCTCTAGAGGGAGTGATAGCTCAATTCATAATGCAGCAAGGTATTGCAGCTTTACAGTGTACACCTGGTGAACAAGTTACAATTCTAGCTTCACGTAACAGTGATCCAAATTCTGAAACAAAGGTTCCTCTCCTGAAGAGACTTGCACAGATAAAACGAGTAAAATATTTTTGGTATATCTTTCACAGAAAAAAAAGTAATGCCTACAGCACTCATCACTGTATAACGTTTGGTGAGGCTGTTGTGTGAAATGAAATGAAACAATTCTCATTTTGGCATTAAATTCTAGAAGAAAGCAAAACATGTTTTTAGGCCAGTGACTTCTCTCACTTTGTATAGGTCTAGAAATGAAACTATTTTTTTTGGTTGAAGAACAATTCAAGGCAAACGTCATTTGTTTTTTAGGCACCCTGCTCATTTGAAAGAGGCTGTGCAAAACTATAAATATTTTACGTAGATATCCTTTAATGGATGGATTGTTAGCTTATGTGGGTGTTTAATAGACTGCAATCATGTTTTTTTCCCCCACCATTTCTACCTTTCTGACTCTAAGGAGTAATGGTGACAATTTTTATTTTATAAAGCTCCTTTCATGTCATATCACATCCTCCTCAGTCATTTGAGTCATACCCACTTCACGCCAGTGACACAAGGAAAAAAACTTGTTTTAAAAGTTTTAAAAGAACACAAAATCCACACCTTACATAACTCCTGATTCCATGACATGGTATTTGAATAACTTCCAATTAGCTGAACTGGGTACCCAGGAAATGTTAAAAATTAAAGTGTAGCTGTATTTGTCTTTGTGGAGAAGGGGACTGGTTTCACAGTCATTTCTAGTAAACAAATCAGTACTGAGCATTACACCTTAACAGCATGTTAATACTTCTAAACTGCCTCTTCTGCAGTTACATACACAGTCTAGCTAAGAGGCAATGAGGCCTTTTCTCTCACAAGCTTCAGGTTAGAGTTCAAACAAAAAGAAAACATCAAAGTCAACAGACAACAGATCCAAGTGATGCAAGATACATGACTAACAAACAGGCCTGGTCAAAATGTACAGAGGATTGGTGGCCAGCATTTCTAAAATGTGAAAACTTGCCTGCAAAACCAATGGCGTCTCATCTTCCTCTTGTTTAATAGGAAAATACAAATTATGTCAGCAACATTCATCACTCTGCGGGTCTAGCAAAACAATGTGTTGCTACTGTATATATATATATGTAAAAGTACTTGTGAAGCCATTTTAAATGCAGTGTTGGATACCAAACCACCCAGTTGGGTGCTGCCGAACTACACGTTTGGTATGTTACTGGTTGTCTATCTTTTGCGATTAACAAAGCATAAAATTCGGAAGATGTATTTTAGGCTGAACTGGGTGCAACAATAGCTAAAGAGTTAAAGAACTCAACGCAGGCTTAGATGGTCACAGCCCATGTATTTCACTCTACTCTAACTGCAACCACAAGGTATTATCGTAAACTGTAATCATAATCGCCATCATCAATGCTTTTACGGAACAGAATCCATAACTATGTCATAGAGGAGCTGGAAAATAAAAGGTTGTCATTAGCCATCCCTGTGATCCTCTTAAGAAAATGGATGGTAATGAAAGACGTGCGTGTAGCCTTTGATATTGTAGTGAAATTTCTGTGGCTTGAATGCCATTATGATAGTGAGGCCCAAAAGGATTGTTTGAGTATTTACTATAAAAGGATATTAACTGGCTTCAAAGAAGATTGTACAATGCAGGTAATCAGAGCCCAGTAAACTTATTAAGCCAGATCTTCCAGTATCTGAAGATGACAGTCAATTATATAATTTGGCTGCCGCTGTAGAAATTGGTTTCGAATGATGACCATTAATTGGCCTAACTGTCGCTTAGCTTGTAACATAAGAGATATGGAAATGAACCATTACAATGAACAAGCAAGTGATGCGTCACTTTGTCCTACAGCAGGTACGGTCACTTGATTTCACGCTATTATGGTCACATTTTCTTCCCGCTGTGTGACGTGCAGCAGGGCTCTCAAGGATTGTGTCCACAAAAAGTAAGCAGGAAAGGGTTTAAGGCATTTTAAGTGAACATTCATGAGTCTTTTCTCTTTAACTGATGCCTGTCAAACAATAAAGAAAAATTGATGTTTCTGTTTTTATTTTAAGATTATTATTTAGTATTGCAGTGCCTAATTTTGGGTTTTAGATCCAGTATTTATATTACACCAGATAATGTAATCACTTGGTTTCCTACTATATAGCAATACTGCTCATTTCATTAGTATGAGGCTCACTTTTTAGCTGGGACTCCAAGTTCCAAATGATTGAACCATTGATGTTCTTTTAGTACTACCCACAATATTGCTTTCTCATCACTGTCATACTGGGGCAATATATCAAATAAAAACTGTTTCCATATCATGAAATCATCAATGCAGTTTATAAATTGGAACTGCAATGTATCTTAATGTAATTAAAAACCTGCTTGACAAATTACATTTGACCAACATCTTCAGGTGTGATTTTAAGGAGCTCTTGTACCTTAAATTACAATTAAAACAAAAAGAGACTAGCAGAAGTTGAATTTTATAAACAACCCCAACTGGTTGCAACTGTAATTTTGGAATTGTAACTGGAAGGATGTGGATTCAAATTCTGGGCTGGACCCTGCTTTGGTACTGCACTCAGAGCATTCCAGTAAAAATATCCGACAGCAGAAACTTCATTGTAAATAAGAGTTTGCTCTCATTCGACAATCCTATTATGTCCTTTCAGTTCCAAGATACAAGGCTCTCGTTACACAGTTTAGAGCTGAATCCTGAAATGCAAGTGTCTTTGAAGTTAAAAGAGGAAAATGGAGCATTCTTTCAAGTTTTTGGAACTTCTCAATGTATACAGAGGAGCTCAAAACCACTTATTTATAATAGTGTAGACAACAGCTGCACAGGAGAGCAGTTACTCCTAACACCAAATGCCTCCTCCACCCTCTCTTAAGCAGAGATTAAATCACCATTTGTCTTGGCTGAATCAGAAGTAATCCGAACCTGACTCAGATCTCCTTCATGCAAGAACTATTCACAAAGTGTACAACAGAAGTCTGTATAGCAATGAAGGAATTCCACAGACTACACAGTATCCGGAGGTGCACTGATTTCAAAATGATGTCAAAGAGACATACACCTGAGATATCTAAATATAAACCAATCAATTTGCAAACCATTTCTCCTTAATCCCTGTTGACACAGTCAACTTCCCATCCAGCAGAACAAAATGCATTGGAGTACAAATGTTTTTCAGCTCAGAGAATATTTTTTCACACAAGCTTTTACTAGTATGGTCAGCAGTTCTTTAAAACTGTAAATGCAATATTATTTTTTGTATAGATATTTCGATAAATTCAGTGTTTTAAAACGTTTAGCTCAGAAGGCACACCCTCAAAGCCTTTCCAATATAGAAAAGTAGTTTCCTGAACATCTTTAAAATTCTTCTTGTCTGATTTTAGAATGTGTTTTTTTAATACAAATCAGGCACTCGGAGCTGTTGAAGTTACAGTGGAGCAAACTGAAAAGATCACAAAATTATATTTTCAAGTTCCTCACAAGTTTTATGACTATGTATTTCAGGGTAGGGATCTCTTAACAGAAAATGTTTAAGCTTCAAGTACCAATAGTTTTCCCTTGAAGAGTGAAAACTGCATTTTTGTCTGTAATATTCTGTCTGTTCATTGTTTAATCTTAATTCATTTAAACATGTTCAATTTATTAAAATTTCAATTTGGTATTTCTAAAAAAAAAGAAACAGAAAATTTATTTTGATTAACAAAGGTGAAAAGGTGCATTCAATACAGTGTTCTTTCATAGTTCTACATGAGAAAGGCTTAAGCAAATTTACATAGATTTCATTTATATATACAGTACGTATAGAAAAAATACCTAAAAAATAACAATCAACTTCCTTCAAAAGCAGCAAAAGAAAATTACTATAAAGAAATATTTACAACTTTTGAACGACAGCCCATGGCAGGCTGTGAGGATAATATCCAGAGGGTAAGCCGAGGATGAAGAGTGAAATCGGGAAGAACTGAAGAGGTGACTTTGGAGCCAGAAGCCTACCCAAGCACATCTCAATTCTCCTCTTGTGAGAATAGGGCTCATTTGCATTCAGTAGAAGACTAAATATAGATTTTCTTTAAATAAATCAAAAAAGGCAATTCTACAAGTTCAAAAAATAAATATCCACACAGTTTTTCTTCTTCTTCGGCAAGACCTTTTTCTCTCTTTTTTTTTAGCATACAAGGTTCATATAAAGTCCTGTGCAATTTCAGATGTGTTGCTCCAAAAACAAAATTTCAACAACAAAAAAAATTACATTCATCTTCTTTCCTCTGCCGCCCGATGGAACCAAATGAATCCGATATACCTGAACTAGGGGAACACGCTCCTAGTCTGTCCTGACATTTCAGTATCGCAAACCAAAAGGACTGGAAAATGTCACATTTTCGTGTATCTTAGAAATACTCAAGAAACACTTCAGATATTTAAAAAAAATGCCTTGAGAGAAAGTTTTACAAAGTTGCATTTTCAGTACTTAGATTATTATATATTGTTTTTCTGAAGAGAACCAGGATGCACATACGCCCACCCTTTCATTATAAAAGCACTGTACTCCCACCCCAAGCCTTATAATGCTTACACTTATTGAGGCAGATAAATTATTGCAACTTACATGATTTGTCAGATACTTTTTACCTTTGTCAAGTCTTTTTACATTCTGAAGATACTAAGATGTTAGTTTTTCCCCACTCAGTATAGATTTATATTTGCATTAATCTACTTCCGTATATTATATAATATGTGAGCACATATACCTTTACAAATACATGCACACACATGCTTTAACATATAATCTAATACATATGTATACATACTGTAAAATAGATGTAAAAAATGACCAGCATCCTACAGGATTTGGTTGAACAATCTTTCAATATAAGTGTAGGATACTGATGTCTATTTTTTTTTCCTGCAGTACAGGAATTGCTGAATTTACGGCCTGTAATACTTGGAATCCCATATAATGAAACAAACTGCACCTGAGGGTTAGCGGATTTCTGTCCCCTTGTTCTGAGTGGGTGAAGCAGCTTAAATGAATGCACTATTGAAATACCCACTAGGCAAGCTTGGCAACATGTCAGCACAGAACACAATGTGTTTCATCAATTCAAGGACGTTTTCTATATTCTCATGCCTGTCACGGCATCATCTCTACATCAGGCATCTCAAATTCTAGGATTCTGGGGTTTGTTCTGACCTGAGGACTCAATTCAATGATTAAGATAATTATTCCCTTACAGTCTTCTACTGTTTATTATGCAAAATGTTCACTATCTTAAAGGCAGAGTTACCTGTATAACACCTGTGAGTCTCCAATTAGAAGCATGTAGTAAATGAAATAATTTACTGTTTACTACATTTACATGTAGTAAATTAAATAATTTATTACACAATTGTAACTGGTTTTTTTTTGGAACTGAAACAAAATCCAGAATACACAAGGCCACACAGGAACATGAAGAATTTGAGAGCCCTGTGCTACATAGTGTTAACTAGCCGCCTGGTTTTAAAACGCAAGTGGCTCACATATAATGCGGTGTATTGCCATTATCAAGAACCATCTCCTCATTTTCTCCTGTAACCACGCGCATCTGACCCGAGAGGCACAGCAGAATGTGCCGGCAGGCCAATTGGAGATGTGTTTCTACCGCCAAGATTGCTTGTTCTTTTCCCACTGAACAACGGAGGTGCAAATCAGTAGAGGTTCCATTAAAAATGACAAAAAACAAACACTTCATGGTTCTCTAATGTAAACAAAGAGCTAAGGACAGGATGTTGAGGAGAGTCCCGGTAAAGTGCTTTCTTCTAAATCAAGGGTGTAGAGTTGGGATTATACATCTGTATTCTTGCACAATAGATGTTCTACCAAAAAGTGCAACTAGCCAAAGATTTCAACATAAACCTTCGACTTCCCCCCACAAGACACAGATATTAAAAGAACTGCCAGTCCCTGTCAGATTCTAAGATAAAAGTCTTAATTCCATGCTTCAGTCTGCAGCTGCTGAATGAGAACGGCTTTTCTTGGTAAGGTAAACTCTCCTCGCTCGACCTACATTACAGCACATGGATGGTGAGACTTACAATATTCCATGTAATTTCCCATACAGCATTTTTAAAGTCTTCAACTTTTTTTTTTTGCTGTAAGTAATGCCCTCGAAAAAAGTTGTTTTATATCATGGAAGCTGATTATAGTGGAATTTCCACTGTAGGGTGGTATCAAAGTTATCATATGGACCACATGACGATTAAGTAACGTCAAGCATGGAAATGTCGTTTATAAGATGGCGCACATATCGTACATGAGCCATCAAGACTGACGCCTGTCTCACAGAAATTGCCACTTCCCTCAGAAGACAAAAATATTTCCATGTCTTAAAGCACTTATAGGTGTGGAGAGAAAAAAAAGACATGGGAAACATGTCAGATGGCACTCTCCTAACTCAATCCAGACAGCGTCTTCATCTTCTAGTCCAGCCTATAGTAAAATCACCCCAAATATCCCTGTACTGTATAATCATTGCTATATAAAGCCATTAAGCCTATAAAGTGTAAAACACAAAACTTGTAGGCTACTTGAAATTTTTTTTCAGACCAAACAGCTTTTGGTAGTTCAATTGTTTTGCTCTGAAACACATGCAGACAAAAAAAAAGATAAAATGTAAAACCTGTGCCAATAAAATGATTTCTAACTCTTAACGAACTGTATCAAGAATATACATTTACCACAAGCTTAATGCTTTATATCTTATACCTGCCAATTGTTCTCTAGAAGAACTTAAATCACGTTTATCTTTTTTAATAAAAGAAAAATCCTCAGAAAACTGCAATTTTCTGATAGTCTGTGCCCTTCACAGGATGGCCACCTGGGGTCACCCTACAGCCAGGCTTCTGACCGTGAGGACAAATCTCACTACTCTGCTACTTCAGACCTCACAGCCGCCGGTGGAGCTTCATTTTCCACCCCCTGCGGTCTTTCCCGATCATATATAGGTGATGCGATGGACTTATTCAGGGTGGGGGAATGATTCTTGCTCTAAGAACTCCTCGTCTCTCTCCTCTCTGCCGCCAGGTCACAGCGTGGACTCGCACTCCACCTTGCAGGTGGTGGTGGTGGTGCCTTTGCGCGTCAGCTTGAGGACGCTGGGCTTCTCCGTGGGGCTTGCCCCGCTCCCCTCGCCCGGTTCCAGGGCCTTCTTCTGCTCTTCCTTGGGCTCCTCCGAGGCGCTGCTGGGGTAGATGACCAGGAAAGCGGCGCTGAGGAAACCCAGGAAGGAGCCGCCCGAAGCCACCATGGGGATGACTCTCACGCTGCCCACGGCATCCACCATCCCACCGAGAGCCGAGGCCACCAGGATCTGGGAGATGTAGACCTGGCACGACAGGATGGCGCAGTCGATGCCGAAGCCTCTCTTGGAGTTCCCAGGGCTGTGGTGAATGTACTGCAGAAACGAGCAATACAGGAGTTTGAGTTGAACAACCTGGCCACACACACAACAATCCTGTCTATATTCCACTCAGTGGTCAACATTTAAGGAAAGCCCAGTCAAATAATCACACTGGCATTATATAGCAGTGGTGTGGTGGTTCTGTGACTAAGGATCTGCGCCTGTGGCTGGAAGGTTGCCAGTTCGTATCCCACTCTGTTGGGCCCCTGAGCAAGGCCCTTAATCCCAACTGCTCCAGGGGTGCTGTATAAATGGCTGACCTCTGACCCCAAGCTTCTCTCTCCCTGTCTACGTGTCTCATGGAGAGCAAGCTGGAGCCTGGGAAAAGACAAATTCCTAATACAAGAAATTGCATAGGCCAATAAAATTATCTTATCTTAGTTGATTTCAGCCTGACACAGACAATCGCCAGACATCAATCTTGTTGATAACCTGCAGTTATGGTGTCATGTGCAGTTTAGTGAAATCCCATACATGATTATCCTTATCAGAACCTCAGTTGAAGGTGTTAATATATAGGAAAAATAGAGGACTTAGCTATAAAAGTTGTACATGCTTGTGCTGCACATCCTGTTCACACTGCTCACTGCTCAGAATGTTAACTGGTGGGTTTTCCTAACATGGTGCTTTTGTTTTTTGAAAAATATATTTCATTACATTTTTGCCTTGCCCTGATAAACAGCCTTTAGGGTCACTTCATTAAAGATGAACCAAATCTCAAACAGAACTATTTAATTCATTCTTTCCTTTTCTAACTGCTTTATCCAATTCAAGGTCACGGGGGAGCTGGAGCTTATCCCAGCAAGCAACTGGCACGAGGAAGGGTACAACCTGGACAAGATGCCAGCTAAATGCAGGGCATTTAACTGACACAGAAGACACACACACTCACACCAGGGTCAAATTTCTCACAAGCCAATTAAACCTACCAATATATCTTTGGACTGCAGGAGGGGACCAGTGCACCTGAAGGAAACTCACACAAATGTGGGGTGAACATCCTATACAAGCTCCATGCAGATAGCACCCCTGGAACTGAACCCAGGGCCCCAATGCTAACCACTGTGTCACTGTGCTGTCCCATTTATTTTTGATCCTCATAATAAAACATTTACATATTGTTAAGTCTCAAATTGATTGTCTTAGGGTAATTGTTGAAGAGAACCTCTTGACATATTATACTTTAAGATGTTAAACTTACTTTGTGTCCCAAAGACATGAAGTAACCATTAATGTACGAAGCTTGAAAATTCCTCAAGAACATGTTCAGCCCTGTTCAGCTTATGTACAGAGGGGTGAAAGAATAAATGTGACTCAGAAATTAAATATTCTAAGCACCCCATCCTGCAAATGGAATGTAGCATTCACACCCAGCCATGTGCTCAGGAAGTCAGCCCCACCTCTTTGATCTCGTGGTACTGGCCCAGCAGCGCGTATGGACAGTAGGAGATGCTCATGGAGATGATGCCCATGCTGCTGATCATCACCATGGACACATAGACATTGGGGAAGATGGCCATCACTGCTGTGCCGATGGAGAAGGCCAGGGTGCCTAAGATGTAGATGATCTTGATGCTGAGGTCATAGTTGTCCAGGTACTTTTGGAGTAAAGCTAAAAATCCAACAACAAAATTAACACTTAATTATTAGTAAAGCAGCCTTCTCCAGCATGGAATTTTAATGATAATTGATTTATGCATTTAATGCATGTTTAGCGACTCAACAAGGTTATGGGGACTAATTTACATCTACAGCATACTGTACGCTGTCTCATTTTCAGAGAATTCCAATTTGGGGTTTTCATTGACTGAAATATTTTTTTTTCTGAATTATTCAGGCATTATTTTCGGTTTATATTACGGAAAATATACAGCGAAAAAACACACTCAAATCTCTCTGCATAGCTGGATCTTCAATCCTGTTCCCACCCTACAGGCCTGGGAACCAGGTGTTAATCTGGACCAGCCTCCATTTGCTCTTGAGGGGTATTAGATGCATCCTTAAAAGCTAACTGCATAACACAGACTCAATGCACGTCTGAATTATGCACTTTTTGCATGGTCTACCATGTTTTTCTTTCCACTGCTGTATATTTATTGGTTGCCACAACATACTGTATGTATTGTTCTGGTAGTGTTATTTATTGTGTTTGTAATGTACTGTCTACATTGGGTGGTGTTGTCGGTCATACTGTGTAGGTCCCAAGGGATCAGCGCAAATAGAAATTCCAATGTACATGGACATATGACAATTACCTCTTCTACTCTACTCTAATATGTAGGCTGTGCTCAGAGTACTTAGGGATCTTGGAGAGAGCGAAGGCTGTGCAAATTGCATGATGCTGCATTTATTTATCTATGAAACACTGCAATCTCACACTACAATAATAACTGATTCTAAGGTTAATACTTTTTTGGTCATTCTTCATAATGGAAACTGTCTATGTTAATTAAGAACTGTATCAAATTTGTCAACAGTTGCTCCACGAAACCAGTGGGGAAAATGTTCACGTGATCCATACAGGTGTTGGTGGGTTTGCATGAGTAGAGTCGAAGGTTTGCCATTACTCACCTGAGCATATGGCAGCTGTAGCAGCATAGATGACCAACCCCCAGCAACCCATCTGCACTCCTTTGTGGTAATTCTGAAGAGCAGTAGAGTTCCCAGCAGCCTGCAATGAGTGAAGCCAAACCTTCAGTATGAATGCTCTTAATAGGCCGCACAAAGTACGTAACATACAGTCAGACTAGTTAGTGCCTTTTCACAGTTTAATTAAAAACCTAAAACTGCTTTATATACTGTTTTACCTTGTATAGGTGTAAACAAAATGTTCTTACCTTATTACAAAGCAAATCACGCTTGGAAAGCTTTACCAGATTAGTTCTGCTTAAAAAGGAAGCTGGTTTTATATTTATATTCAATTAATGCAGGGTATTAGAAACCATCTAGGCTGTTAATTTCTGTTAACGGTACCTTCACAACGTGACATGACTAAAAACAGTGTTCGCAATTTGAATCTGTTAAACCAGTGGATTTAAGGTGAACTCAAATACATAAAAACATACATATTGTTCTGTTATGCCCTTAAGTGCGACAAAATCTGTTTATCACATAGGATAAACATTTCTAAGATTATAGACTTAACATCTTTTTCTCTTTAAAATAATAGACCACAAATGACCTGCTACCACTAGATCAGGGCACACCAGTTATCTCCGAAGGAAAAAGAGCTTGAAGAGGTGAAGGGGGAACTAGGTGTTTACCGTGGGGTCCCCCTCGAAGATGACCTGGCCCATGAAGTCGGTGTAGAAGACGGCCTCGGCGATAATGGAGAACCAGGTGAGGAGGTGGCAGAGGCAGAGACGCAGCAGCTCTGGGGGCATCTTGAGCATGGAGAGCCACAGCAGGCGCACAGTGGTCTCGGTCTCGCCCTCCTCGCTCTCCGTGTCGCCGCTGGAGTTGGTGTTCCCGCTCTGGTGCCGCTGCCTCTGCCGCAGCTTCTTCTGCCGCTTCTGCATCTCGTAGATGTCGTTCAGGCTGCGCGAGGACTTGATGAGCACCACGGCGTTGGCCCTGCGGTAGCGGTAGCGGTGGGTGCCCACGCGGCCGTAGTAGGAGAAGGTGCAGGAGGGCTGGCGGTAGAAGGTGTGCCGGCGCCGCCGCATCGAGGCGGAGGTGTTGGACTGCTTCATGCCAGTGCGCGCTTGACCGTGGAGGCCGTTCGTGTCGGCGCCCGCCAGGCCTCCGTTGGGAGCTTTGGCTTCGAGAAGCTGGTTGTTCAGCAGCGTTTCCTGCCCGTCCCTTTCGTTCTCGTGGAGGAAATCGGAGAGGCGGCCGAACTTGGCCCGGAGGAACTCCTGGCTGCCCGCGCTGCTGCTGCGTCGCGGAGGGGTGCTGTGGTAGGAGGACAGGTGGTCCTGGAAGATGGAGGGCTCGATGTCGCACAGGAACAAGGCTTCAGCGTCCAGGTCCAGGGTGGCGTCTGTCACGTGGAGCACGGAGTCGCTTTTGCTCCTCACAATCTCTACGTCCAGGAAGTCCATGTCCATGTCGTGCTCAGAGTGGGCCTCGTTGTAAAGGCGGTAGGGCTGCTCTTCACCAATCAGGTCCAGCGGGGGGAGGGCGGGGGCCACCAGGCTGCCGTTGAGCTTCACCGTAGACATGGTGTCTGCCTCCTCATCCAGGCGATCTTGCTGAGGGCTGTACTGCTGCTCTTCAATGCTGAAGAGGTGCAGCCCCACAGAGATAGTAAACAAAATGGCAGCGAAGAAGAAGAGGACCTGCTCCTGAGACTTGAAGATCTGGCCAAGGAAGGTATGGGTCCAATCTAGACCTCCCAGCATGTACCCTACTGCTCCTCCCAGTCCTGCAGAGGCAGAACAAGAGATATTTGTTAACCCACGATGCTCTTCTACATCAGATCGTTAAATGTTATAATAGACTTCCAAGAATGAGATTTGATGATAAACAAATTGTAACCATATTCAACCCATTCAAGATATGAGAAATATAGTTACAATAAACAAAAACTAATTTAAAGAGTCATATGAAGCAGATACATGTGCCATTACTGTTTGGTGAAATCACCTACTACTAGATATCAAATTATAAAAGTGTAATACACCTATAAATGTATAATGATACTTTACTTAAAAGTCAAGCAATTGCAATGTTAGAATAGCAGTAGATATACAGTATATATGCAAACTGGTGAATCAACAACTTCTACATAATAACAGTTCAAGGTCTGTGGATTGTATTACAAATGCCTACTACAGCGGGGAGTATTTTTTTGGTCATCAAGTTAATTTGAGAAAAATACACAGAGCGTCTCTGTGTTTCTCTCCCATGCGCATGAAATAAATACTTAAAATAAACACTGAAATAAAAACGGAAACGTGGAAAAATGCAAGCTTGCGGATTGCTAAAGCAGGTAAGCCCCACACTATTATGTGTGGAGAAAAAGCTGCTGAACAGCTCAACCTGCTGCCCCCCCTGAAAGACACAGTCATTCATAGAATTATTGAAATGAAGGATTATATCAAAAGTACGCTGACAGAGCGCGTTGAGCAGATGTTTTTCACTGCAATTAGATGAGTCAGTAGTCGATTTGGCCAATTTGCTCGTTTACATTAGATACGAGTTTGAGGGTACGTCCCGTGAGGACTTTCTGTTCTGTAAGCCGCCACCAACAGGAGAATGGCATCGACTGGATAAAATGTGTCGGAGTTTGTACAGACGGTGCTAGAGCAATGACAAGCCGGCACAGCGGTGTAGTTGCACGAATTAGAGAGTTTGCTCCAGAAATTAATGGTTTCATTGCAACATCCACCGCGAGACCTTTGCCGTCAAGAAAATGCCTGACGATTTAAAATCTTTTAGACTGTTGTGAATTGTATCAAGGCTCGAAAAATTAATTCACATCTGCTTTGCTCAACTAAACAGGCTCACCCCTCTCACTGAAATGGTGCTTTTTTATTTTTATTTGTTGTTGGTTTTTTTCTGTAAAACACTTTGAGAAGCCACATTTTAATATATCAAACAAAGTTTATTATAATATTTATTATATGTATGTGTGAGTTTGTGTGCACATGCCCTCATGTTGGTCACTGATAATTTCTGGGGTTCCTATGAGATGATGACTTGTAGGTGGTACTTGGATGCTTTGGTTGGATTAGGGGTGGTACTTGGTCCAAAAAGTTTGAGAACCACTGCTCTAAACAGAAACACAGAGCTTCTTCTACACTGTGAGGGATAAAACAGAATTAGGAATTGGAAATATATTTGTATCCTTTGAGATTTCATTCTCAAATATTTCCATGCCATGTTCTCCCTGTGGTGTCATTGATCATCTCTGAATGCTCCGGTTTTCCCTGACCTTCCAAAGGTTGTGCCAATGGGTGACTCCAAAACTGTCCGTGTGCGAGTGTGTGTCTTGCAATGGACACAAGGTGGGGTTATACCACACACCCTGTGCTTCAGGGACCAGCTCCTGTTTGCAGTCTGCCTCAACAGAAAAAGAAGCTTTCTGATAAAGGATTGATGAAGAATAGACACCTCATATCCCGTGTGTATCGTACTATATAAAAATAGGTTTGTGTTCTCCAGGTCTACACCTCATGCAGTGGTTTAAAATCCAGTCTCCTCAAACTAGGTACCAAGCTACAGACTGGTGTAATGTTCCCCCAGCTTTAGGTGTGGTATGTGAAGCCAAGTTAAAAATGTACCCTCTTTAGACTTCAAGAAAAAAAGATCTTCAACAAAGTACAGTAAAGATCCAGAAAAACTTGAGGCTTCAAACTTGCCTGCAAACAAAATACATTTTGGCCACTGGAATAGACTGTCTGCCTTTCCTGGGCATTTTTCTGTTATGAAGCAAAAGTATTTGCGCAGATGTTTTGTTCACGTTACAAAAACCCAGCTGGAAAGCGGGATACATTTGCCAAAAATACCAAGCTGAGCCTAAGATGGCTTACATCTTCTAGAAAAAAATCCAAAAGAAAATGCTAGTTTTTTTCCCCCCAATACTGTTTGAAATAGGAGTCCTCAGACGCGCAGTTTGCCCTTCTTCAGGCTCAGTGTCCGTTTCGTACGCATGAAAGGTCGGCATCAGTCTGTTTCATACCAGCAGAGAAGGCATGGATATTCAGTGCCATGTCTTGTTCTTCTGTGTCTGCTACATCCAGCAGGTAGGCCCGGATTGGCCCCTCAGTAGCATCGGCGCAGAAATCCAGCACCACCACTCCTAGCACTGTCAGTACAATTCCGATGGGCTGGTTATTAAGAACATCACCAAGGGCCAGGCCTGTAACACAGAGAACGAAACAAACACCGCTCTTAACATCAGAAGAGAACAACTATCATAAAAACATAAATATGCTTTAAAAAACCCTTAAAACAGACCTGCGTCACAACACACTAATTACATTTATTTTTACTTATCATAATTACATTAATTTACGGTTACAACCACAGTACCCAAGGGAAAAGAAACAACTATCAATTAAAATGAATTAATGTCAACACCTTTATTCTTCTTACAGTTTCAGTTCAAGTGACCAAGAAACGGTTGGACGTGTAATAAAATCCAGCCATCTTCTTTCTAAATGTTTTATCCAATCCAGGGATAGCAGAGCCATTTGCAGGGCACAATAAAAAAGCTCTACAATAAAACTATAATTAAATTTTGTCTCATATGGCAATTATTTTCGAAAGGATAGCCCCAGCTGACAGAGTTAAGACGGACCAGGGTTAAGGTTTGGTTTGGGACCAGGGTGTGGAGCAGTTCGTAGGGTTCTGGACCTGTAACTGGAAGGTTGTGGGTTCAAATCCCAGATGTAACACTACTATTCTACCTTTGAAGAAAGTACTTTACCTGAATTGTTTCAGAAAATAACTGACTGTAGAAATGGGTACAAATGTAAAACATGCTTTGGATAAAAATGTGAGCTAAATGAGTTAAGCATCAATTATCACGTTTGAAAAGGAACAAATAATGGGTTTATTCCATGCTGAAAAGAGAAGAAAGAAAACACAACGTTTCAGCCATGGAGCCTTCTTCAGGTGTGTGGAGTAGGCTCCACAGCCGAAACGTTGTTTTCTTTCTTCTTTTTCAGCATGGAATAAACCTATTACTTGTTCCTTTGCAGCCTACGCATCCTGACACAGCTACCCACCTGAATTATCATGTTTATTTGTTTAAAAGACTATGCAGTTTTTTACGTTTATTTTTCCATAACATACTGTATATGTAGCTGCAATGCTTAAATACGGTTAAAATTGTAGCTAACTGAATACCAACCTAAAATATTTTTCAAAAGAAGGGAGAGAATAAACATTTTATATGACAATCAGGTTCTGACTGAAAGTCTTATTAACATGTTGAAATTGAGAAACATGAATTAAGATGTTTTTAGTTGGTTACAGATATACCACATGACACTGTACCATATTATATAAAAAAAACTGTACCATATTGTATAAAAAAAACTGTTCAGAAAGGTCTTGCCCTTTAGACTAATATACCACTTCAGACCACTTAAAATTTACAGCAGCTGGACCCTTGGGAGAACATTATCTGATTACTGGGCATTGTGTGTGCAGTCAGGTATGTCAGCGTCACTTCAAACTCAACATCAGCTGAACAGAAGGTCCTCTATACCTCCAGATCATTCTGTGAACCAAGGATTTGTATCTATAAAAAAACACCTTTTTAATAAGCCCAATTACATACTGTAAATACTTTGCGTTTCAAAAGCTCAAGCACTAAAAATGGGGTGAAGAACATATCTGATCGGAAACTAAAATGGGGGACTTTATCTTGGAGTTCTTTTCTTGGAAATCGCCGGGCACTCCCCTGTTTTCATTTTGAAAAAGTGGCAAACACTTTGTGTATTGCCGGGCATGTAACTGTGTATGTTACATGCCAAACTTGAACAGAGTTCAGATTCCTGAGTGGTTGACCATGCCGCCTCACAAAGACCTCAATTATTTCTTAAAACAAGCTAGATGACAAAGGAACAGTGAGCACTACATAGTACATTCACCCAGCTTGCTGAACCATTTTAAACACTGCAAGTAATACATACGCTGTGTCACACTTTCATTGATATATCCATCTCTGCTTTCCTATTGATCTAAAGGCAACCTTTCTCTCACTAGCATTTTAGAATCTGTACTGTACATCTGTCAATGTCTCTAGCCTGAATGATGATGAGACTTCATGTATCATTCGGTGTTGTAATACTATGCCTGCAGTTTATCTGCTGTACTATGGGATTTACTACATTCTCAAAGAAGTAGCATTAGCATCTAGACTTGGTCCTTGAATTTCCTTCTTTCTTTCTTGGTCTATCCATTCCAAAATACAGTGAGTGATTCAAATGTTCCGTGTTGGCGTTTTAAGGAAAAGACATTCTAATGACATCTATTGATTTAGAGGGCTCCTGAAGCACTTCACTCACTGTGAAGCTGCAAGAGTGCTGATTTCAGCTGTCACTGGGTCGGGCTGAAACAGAAATAATCAGTGTGAAATGTCACATCTAATCCATCACGTGTACCATAAGCCCAGCGAGGAAGATCTTTTGGGCACTCTGTTTCAAGATCGTGTGCTGTTGGAGGTAGAGAAAAATGGGACATCTTTATCATAAGATCAGTGGGATTCTGTGGTCTGCTGAGAAACTCTGTAACAGATGAAATTCATCCTGATTTGCTATATCGGACAGTGAGGGTTGATTTAATAGGCACACCCATCAGTTATGTTTAACAGGAATGGTTTAGTCAAAAAACACTAATGGCCAAAATACTAAAGGACTAACAAAGCATTTTTTGTCTTTTGTTAGCCTTCAATTTTTCATTTAAGAGATGCTGTTAATATTGGTATAAATCATGGATCATGTATTTCAAGTCTTATCATTTTATGCTTTCTTGAAATACATGGTTTACTAGATAACAACACACATGGGATATGGATTTCTATGCTTGAAAATGTATCTGAATGTCATTTTCCATTGAATTATTGCCATTGTTTGAACATGTTGGACACTGATCAGCACCACGGATGGCAGAGCCTGGCTACAATGATGCCTTCTCTTTGCTGTGTGCTATTTTACTTTGCTTTCGTAGAAGTCAAATAATTTTTTTTGTCCCAGAAGACAGTAACAGCTTTCGGGAGAAAAAACAAAACAAAACAAAACAATAACACAAACAAGTTATTAGTCAAGCTCTGTCACTGAGAAAGGAAACTGCGCTTTGCTCAAACATGTAGCTATTGAAAGAGAAAAGTCAGAGTCACTGGTTTGTGCTTGTGTGTGGTGGCAGCGCCGTCCTACTGACAATGGAACAGACGCTGAATGGGGAAAGGGGTGATGCTTTTTTTAAATAAAGCTGGAGACAGGAAGTATTTCCAGATAGGCAATGAAAGGTAAAAGGGGCACAACAGGAAATATTTCCCTGTGAACTGGTTCCTACTCCTTTCCCATGTCACACAGACAGACCGAGTTTGCGCTGCTAGCGGTGCACAGTGCAACCGCTGATGTTTGCATTACTGGCTATTATTGTGACTAGTTTTGGTGATGAATTATATATGAGGGCTCAGGAGCTAAGGGAACACGGCGCTCATTTGGTGGACCGGCTAAAAAGAGCAAAGCAAAATCACTACATTAACACACAACACTCAGAGGACCCCAAAACCATCCGGAGTGTAAGAAGAAGCAACCAGCAGAATACTGCGTAACGTGTCTGAACATACTCGTTTTGTTCCAAATCCTAAGAAAGCATATGTAGCATGCTGGATTCAAGGAACTGCTTTTCAAAGGGCCTCTTACTTGTTTAACACACTCTTCATATTCCAATTCCTTCTTTACATTATGCTGGAAAGGACACAAGAAAGCTCCCAGACCACATTTACTTTGTGTTTCGAATGTAAAATTCGGAACACATACATTTCCTGCAGGACGTGAGCGAGTCTGAAATGAAGTTAAATCTTCACCTGTCTTTAATTGTTACTTTGCTTTTGCGGTAAAGTGCAGGAGTCAGTTGTTAGAAGATAGGGCTGATTCCCACTGAGATGTTACCATCCATAAAACCCTCAAAAAACAAGAGTGGACACCAACTCTCCACACTGGCTATTAAAGGAAACGAACGGTGTTCTTTCAAAAGAACTGTGCATAAATTTCTTAGTGGCATTTCAAAGCAGGCAACTGCTGAACATAAAAGTACTTGCGTCGATCACACACACCATATGTTTTTGCATGAAGCAAGAGCATTGCTGTGTTCGTTTAAGCAAGCAGCTTTCTGGCACCCAGAAACAAATTATTCCAAAAGAAAATGAGAAATAAACCACTGTTTGGCCTCACCTATAACTGATCCATTGAGAAACAAAGCCACTCCGAGGAGGACACCCACACACAGGGCCAAGATGAATGGACGCCGGCGACCCCATCGTAGAGTACATCGGTCACTGGCCGACCCGATCAGAGGAGTGAATATCAGCCCCAGGATAGGGCTGAGGAACCAAGTCAGGCTGTAGTATTGTTCTGGAAGACCTGTAAGAAACAACCCGCAAAATGGCCAAAGTTAACATTGCTGTTAAGGTTAGAGTCGCATCATTTTACACTTGCCCACAGATGGCTGGAACACAGAAGACACCAGATAGAAGAGACAATTCTACTGACTTCCTTCTATGTTCAGAAGACTATTTCCGACCTTATTTTCAATCAAATTCAAGTTTATTTTCAATCACATTTTTAGACAGCAAAGTAATTGAATATGAGTTTTCTGCTGGTGTTGTATTAAGAGGTAAATGAGCATGGTTTCAATATATAATTTGCAAAGGGAATAATAATATGTAGTAATTACACTGTAATACATAAAGTAATTATACAAAATTGAACAGTATATCAATGCTTTCATTCAAATACTGCAGAGATACTGCAGTTCAATAAACCAATACCTATTGATGTTAATACAGCAGTATTTCAACCTTTCCCCATTGTTGTCTATGTTCCAACCTCACAGTAACATACAAAAACCCAATTTCGTTATGGAAGGAACATGGGTTTTGCTGGGGTTTGTTAAATATGCAGGAGGAGGAGTCCAGTAGCTTCTAGTGTTTGGGAGCAATGTCGACTTTCGCTTTGTTGCAATAAAAAAGCACACCCATTCTGCCGCTGCTTACATCTATGTGCTAATGCGATGTCTCGCTTCAGTATTCATGCAGAATGATTAGTTTCATTACAATGTGCTAGATGTGCTCACCATTCTTCACTCAGTTCAGCCATTGAGAATTAAAATTATAATTAAATGTCATGGTAATCACAGAATGTTCCAGACATGCTCAATTCACAATTCAAGCAATTGCAACCCACACAGAAGCAGTTGGACCCCCCTCCCAGGAGTCCAGGAGTAACAGGCCTTTGCAAGACCTTGGATCTGCTTTACCAGTCCCAAAGCTAGGCAGCAGTAGGAAAGACTTAGGATCACAATGCTCTTGACTCATAATACGGGGCTGTACAAAGGCTAGCTAATCTCCCAGAAAATAATTCGAAGAATGACCTTAAAGAAAGAGCAATTTTGTTCTTTTAGGTTTTTACATGACTACTGTTCATTACAACACCATGCTGTAAAATGGAGAAAAAAAAAGCTTTTCACACAATCCCCTAAATTACAGACATTGACTTCAACTACATAATTAAAACTGTGAAAGGTTAAAAATGGGAGTGTTGGCTCAGCTCCAACAGACAAAATTAACCCTCTATTCATGAAGCGACTTGAGTATCCTTTGGACACTCTAAAACACACATTTGCCCACTTCTAAAGCGCTGGAGCCCTTTATAATCATTGCAGTCTAAAGGTCTGCTTATTTGAAAGGACAGGCCATCCAAATAAGCATCAGTAAGAAGCATCAGAAAATAAGAAAAGAAAGCAGTTACAAAATGATAGATACTGTATATAAGTTGCAAAGTTTTTCTCAAGCATAACAAAGGTCTGGCCTTTGAGATCAACAGGACAATGTTATCATGCTAGGTTCTCACACTATTATTTCTGCTATCATAACACTTTCTAAATTATGAAGAATAAATATTAAACATGATTATTATATGCTCCCCTACCATCCTGTAGACCTGCTGCAATATCATACATATGAAAGTTTTAAATTATGTTAAAAAAGCTTCAGAGGTCAGCAATCATTAGTTGAATTAATATAGTGTCATTTTGGCAAAAAAATAAGAATTCAATATTCGATTCAGATATGGAGCAGTCAAACAGCCCAAACGGTCAAGACTTTTAACATCATGTATCCCACTTAATAATTAACAGACCCAGTTTATTCACATTGGAAACTGAATACATGTGAGAAAAACAAAAACTAGCCTGATTTAAACTGCATTACATTAGTCCCATATTTCACTTATAGTGGTTCAGCTGTTAGCAGCTCACTTTACCATGAATCTCATCAGTGCTTTTCTTGAGGAAACCTACATCATCAGCACTCACAATGTGACGCGGCAACGTGCTCCCACAGCTGTTCAGTTAAAGTAACAGGGTCTGTACATCTCTTACCTTCATTTCACTCACACCTAGTCTCTGTTTATCTCTTGCACTTCTCACTGTACTGATTGTATTGTATGTATTGTATTATTATTGTATAATTCGTTACACTGTTGCTGTGTTAAGCTGCTGCTGCACTGCAATTTCCCTCACGGGATCAATAAAGTATCTATCTATCTTAAGGAAGATTGTTTCTACAATAAACAACTGCTGAAAATACAAACCTAAGTATATGACTCGCACACAGAAAATGCAAGAACTGAAGGACATCTGTACCATCTTAGGTCAGAGCTACATAAATAACACTGCAGTTAAATTAACCGCATCATGTATTTAACTATACATTTTTCATTGACAAACATTTTTAAAAGAAGTCTAGCTAACTCAATTAAGGTGAACCAGAAGACAAAGATTTGGTACGTCAGTTCCAAGTCTGAAACTCCTTCTTCCAAGTCAGCGTTGCGTTTGCAATTGTATTATTTATGAAATGTCAGTGTAAACTCAAACAATACTTTAAGCATCTACCATTACTGTTTACAAAACCTGGCTTGGACATAAAAAGGATTACAAAACTCAAAATTCTAAACTCTTCCCCAGGAGGTGAGGTCCATGAAATGCTGAAGAATCATATAAATATATATCTTACTTGCACAAAATACAGCAAAAAATAGTTTAGTGATGGGACCAAAAACACCTAAATACCATGCAGGTGGGATAATGAGAAATATTAAAAGTGAAAATTTAGCAGAGATCAATATTTTTTGTTAGCAAGGCCTCTCACAGCAAGGCGATGTTCTGCTGTTATTCCTGAAAAATAAAATCTAGAACACTGAAACTTCGGGCATACTATATATGACAATCTTCTATAGCAAACAAATTAATTTAAATAAACAAGCACTACATTTAAATGGACATATTTAGGAGGTTTTATACTGACACACACTATTCACACACACACACCTCAAAAACAAGTGCCTGGTCTAGTCAAAAAGCATGCGACTGCCATAAGAAGGGTTTAAGAGCAGAAGGATTAGAAATGAGAGGAGGCCGTTAAGCCTGTCTAGTCCACTTGCTAGTCAGAAGCTACTGTGGCTATCGAAAGTATTCACCAACTCCCCCGCATTAACTTTTGTGTATTTTATTGTGTTGCACTATGGAGTCATAATGTATTTAACTGGATTTTTTTTTGCCATTGATCAATAAAAAAAACACTCCATAATGACAAAGTGAAGACAAAATTCTACAGTTTTATAACACAATAAAATGTGAAAAAGCCAATTCCCAAAAGAAGCCAAGCTACTGGCTTCAAGAAAGTGGCTTGGTGGTTTATTCCATACTCCCACAACCGTTTGCCTAAGGAAGTATCTCTTGTTCTGCGTTTTTAAATGCACATTCACCTTCGGTTGTGTCCTGTGGTTTGCATTCACAGCAAAAACAAGCCTATTTCCTTTCAATGCCCCAAACACAAATAACAGAACTGGTATTAATCTTTTTCGTTAGACAGTAAGCCTATTACCAGAATCCTCAGATGTTAAGCAGACCTGTGACCTTGTATTTCTGTAGGCAAAGACAGCCATTATGCAATTCGATGGCAGGGGAAATCAATGCAAACTCACACATATGACGCAGTTCGCAAAAACATGTGCAGTGTGGAATCTAACACCAAGCAGCCAAAGGTCAATCATCCCCCACACGGGAAATCCCATCAGACAACGTTGTCAGAAAGAACAAATCTAAGCTGCTCTAGTTCAGCGACGCCGGGATCAATCTCATAACACAAAATTGAGATCAATACACTGCTCTTACTACACTATAGATTTAACTATTTAGTAATATTAAAATATTAATATATTATTAATATAATAATAATATTTAATATTAAAAGCAAACATCTAGCAAACATAATGCAGAATCATTTGATTCTACATAATGCATTATATATCAGCTTGTGTAACTAAAAGGCAGTGGAAGTCCCAAGCAACAGATTAAAAATATGAAAAATGTGAGAGAACCAGTCCTGGGTTGTTCGATGCAAGTTTCAGAGAAAGAAAACACCTAATTCTTCCAAATTAACAGAATGTTCCACATTACTTTGATTTTCATTTCAAATGTTTTAAATACCTATAATACTGTGCAAGAATAAATGACCCTTTTTTGGAAGGGATGCACCCTTCAAGAAAGAATAAAACAGAAAAAAAGAACAAGCTTTCATCTTTATGTCAGTTTAACACCTTGGAAAGACCAGATATCATAAGGACTAACGGGCTGATTATTTTTGCCCTTTGACTGTTGCTAATGGCTGCCAAAGGAACATCTGCACTCTCTGGCAACTCCTCTCTATGCCAGGTAGTGTTGCATAATTCTGCCATTGGTTCAATAGCTTCTCCACTATGTTTAGAAGCATCACTTTTTCCATTGTGTGTGCTTTATACTGTACTAGTCTTATAATTAGAAGCTTTCTCACGCACTGTGACAATCTATGTCTGCCAAGATAATAATAGAAGGTAAAGAAGCTGTTTTGAAATTCACTAAAGCTGAACGAGAATCCAAAACTTTCAAAGCGAATATACTGGCTACCTCAGATGAATATGATTTTCAAAACTAGGTCCATCCGAAGATATTCCCACACATTCAAACTGTTTCTGAATAATCAAAGACTAGACAGCAAGGTCTAGCTTTCCAAGTACTTTAAAATATGTAAAATGCAAATCAGCAGGCTTTAGTTCTTGAAGTACTTGCATCTTTGAGTTTGCAAATATTAGTTAGGCACCGCTTTTCATCCTATAAAGCACTTTGAGAAGCCACCTTTAAAGGCGCTATATAAAATATTTTTTATTGTTATTATTAGTATCATCATCATCATCATCGTTATTATTATTATTATTATTATTATTATTATTATTATTATTATTATAGTCAGGCTTTTAAAGGTAGTACGGAATAAATATAAATTTAAATGGCAGAGAAAACAAAAATGCCACAGAAGATCTAGTTT